GCTGAGGAGCGATGATTTGATTGAATTCAGGAATTTGAGAGCAACCTGAGCAACACTGTGAGACACCACATTGAAAAAGATGTAATTAAAAACCTACCAATGAAGAAAAGCCCAAGTGCTGATAATTGACTGCTGAATTCTACAAGAAACTTAGAGAAGATTTAATGCCACTAGTCCTCAAATTCTTCAGTGAAATTGAAAGTGAAGAAATACTCCAAAATTCATTCCTGGAAGCAAGCATTACTCTGATTCCAAAACCAGAGAAGGATTACTTTGATACCAAACCCAAACAAAAAAGAGAATTACAGGTCAATCTCCATAATGAACAGAGATGCCAAAATCCTCAGTAAGATACTGTCAAACAGAATGCAGCAAATCATCAAGAAGATTATATATATATGAACAAGTAAGACTCTTCCCAAGGATGCAGGAATGGTTGAACATATGCAATTCAATCAATCTAATACACTATATTAACAGAATTAAGGACAAAAACCATATGATCATCTCAACAAACGCAGAGAAAGCATTTGACAAAGTCTAACACCCATTCTTGATTATCACAACCTGATAAAAGCCATCTATGAAAAACCAATTGCCAACATTATACTAAGTGGTCAAAAACGGAAACTTTTCACTCTAAAATAGGAACAAGAAAAGGATGTCCATTATCACTCTTATTCAATATAGTTCCGAAAGCATTAGCCACAGCAATTAGACAAGAGAAAGAACTAAAAGGAATTGGGGCCAGGGATTTAGCTCAGTGCCATAAGCGCCTGCCTTGCAAGTGCATGGGTGTGAATTACAATCCCCTCCCCCGTACCAAAAAAAAAAAAAAAAATCAACAGCATTCCTGTACACAAATACCAAACTTACTGAGAGAGAAATTAGAGAAACCATACTAATGGAAGCCACTGCAAAGTGCCTCTGAGCAGGATTTAAAATTAACCAACTGGCTTTCTATGTTTACTTGTGAGTCTGTCCCAGGCCTAAGCCCCTTCTCTGGGCAGCAGATTCATAGTACGTGAACCTCTATGAATCACTGTTCCCAGCTAAAGCCTGTAGTGATGTCATGATGACTTGAAGGACAAGATACGGCCACAGCTGAGGACATTTGTCTCCAATCCCAATTAACTAGATTGAGACTGCAGCTGCAGGCATCTCATGCCTGCTGTCTCAGTTCTGCCATAAATGTCAACCTGGAGATAAGACAATTCTCCTAATTAGCATAATTTACTACTTGGAGAAGGCTTTAAACTGACTCCCAAGGTCCTGCTCAGTTCACATTTTCCTCAGTATTTCCTCCCTTTGGCTGAAAACCAAATAAATATAGGCTGCCTAGAGACATTCTTTGCTTCAGTTCCCAGAGAATATTGAATTCTGCTAGAGGTTTTTGATCCTCCTGGAGCCTTAAAAATCATACCAGTTGTCGCTTTCATTTAAGCTTTCACCATCCACTCGTTTGAGAGGTTGCAGGCCTGATCAGTTTATATACCACACCTTTCACAATAGCATCAAAAAAAGAGAAATTCTTAGGAACCAATCTAATGAAGGAAATAAAAGACCTTTATATTGAAAGCTACAGTACTCTGAAAAAGGAGGTCAAAGGTAGTATTTGAAAATGGAAAGATATTCCTTGTTCTTGGATAGGAAAATGAATATAGAGAAAATGATTGTACCTCCAAAATTTTTATACAGATTTAATGTAATCCTGATCAAAATGCCATTAGCATATCTCACAGAATTAGAGAATACAATCCTAAATTTCATTTGGAAATAGAACAGAACTAGAATAGCAAAGGCAATCCTGGGCAACAAAGGCTAGGTAGGGAGCATCACAATTCCTTAGTTGAAATAAATAGCAAACTACTGTGATAAAAAAAAAACAGCATATTGGTGGCAAAAAAACAAACCAGGGGATCAGTGGAACAGATTGGAAGATGCAGAATCAATTCTATGCATACTTAGCCACCTTATCTTTGATAAAGGGGCCAAACATCTTCACAGGAAGAAAGATAATTTCTTAAATAAATGCTGCTGGAAAAACTAGCTTTCTATATGGTGAACATTAAAACTAAATCTCTTATCTCTCATCATTCACTAAACTAAAATTGAAATGAATCAAAGATCTAAATATTAAAACAGAAACACTAAATCTGCTGGCATATAGAATAGATAGAAGTCTTGAAGACAAAAATATCGGTAAAAAATTTTATGAACAAAACCGCAATTGAACAGGAAGTATTAAAAATAATCAACAACTGAGATTTCATCTTATTAAAAAACCTCTGCATAGCAAAACAAACCATCAACAGAGTAAAGAGACAACACACAGAGTGCGAAAATTGCCAGCTGTTCCTGAGACAAACAACTAATATCTAGAATAGAGACCTCCAAAAAAAATAAGACTCCCCTAATATAATTTAAAGATCCAACTCAAAAATGGGCATTTGAAAGGAATAGCCACTTCTCAGATGAAGAAGTAGAAATGGCAAATAAAATGCAACATCACTGGTCATTCGAGAGATGCAAATTAAAACAACACTGAGATTCTATCTCATCCCAGAAATAACAGCTATTATCAAGAAATCAACCAATAACAAATGCTGGTAAGGCTGTGGAGAAAAAGGAATGCGTCCCCATTGTTGGTAAGTGTGTGGACCAGTGCAACAACTGTGGCAATCAGTGAGGATATTTCGCAAAAATCTAAAACTAGAAGTTTCATTTGACCCAGTCATTTTCCTACTTGATACCTTCCCAGAAGAATTAAAAACATCATACCAGAGTGATATATGTGCACCCATATTTATAGCAGCACAATTTGTAATAGATCTTGGAAACAAGCCAAATGCCCATCAACTGATGAATGGATAAATAAGATGTGTTTTTTTTATACAATGGAGTACTAACTACCATAAAGAAGGATAAACTTGAGATATAGCTGGCTAAATAAACTCCCTAGAAACTTCAAGTTTCTTTAGTTCTTGTAAGTGCTGTTCACTGAGTCTTTCTCCTAACACAGATAATGCTACAACTCTTATATGACATCTATGCAATGATAACTATCCAAAAGTTGCTATCTTTCCAAATTTTCCCTGTGGGGCCAATGAGAGATTTCATTTAATGATTCTCTGAGATTTAAATATGGATCAAACATATAATACTTATTCTAGTCTTGGAAATTTGGCCTCATATGATCAGGACAAAGAACTCAAGTTTGTGTGCCCTTACAACTTTGAATGTCTTTACTTCCTTCACTTACATGTGCATTATCTCACTCAAGATTTATAGTGTTATCATCAAGATTGGACAACAATTCCAAAATTTTCCACAAACTTTCTGCACCACAAATTTTGTCCATGGTTTCCCAAATTCTTTGTCTATTAGGTGCACTTTCTTCTTCTGTTCAAATCCCCAAGGAACATTTATCTTATATCTCTTAGTTTCACTTATGCAGAAATGTTTCTTTTCTAATGTTCTCATTATATTTTAATATTACACCTATATCATTAACTGCTGATTCAGTCACACTACTTACAACAGGTTCAAATGCCCCATCGTCTGTCTTCATCTTTCTGTAAACCAGAGGCAAAAGAATTGTTCTCACAGGGGCTGGGGATTTAGCTCAGCGGCATAAGCGCTTGCCTTGGAAGCAGGCAGTCGTGAGTTCGATCCCTGGTACCGGTAAAAACGAAAAAGACAAAAAAAAAAAAAAAAAAAAAAAAAAAGAATTGCTCTCACACCAGGAATGTTTCAATGATGGGAAAAGATTCTTGGATAGTCTCTGAGGCCAGGAGGAGTCACTTGCACAGAGCGTTTCAGAGAAACCCAAAGTTCTTTTTTTAAAACACATATAAGATATATCCTTTGCACACACCTCCTCTTTTACAGCTAGTAAAGAGGGGGTTTTGTTGCTGTGGTACACTTTTGACAGACGGTTGACGATAGCAGCGCAAGCTCTGGTTATATCTTTTAAACTTTTCTTAAGTGATTCATTATTATAAGTTGTTGACTCATCATAACTAGGTCATTTGTTCTACACTCCTTTCCAAAAATGATAATAAAAGTGTCCTGAACCACCCACATTTTTCAGTTATGCTGGGAGACAGTAGATACAGTATTAAAAGTCTCTGGCACGAAAGCAACCTGAGTTTAATCCTTGCCTTTGTTACGTGTTGTGAGACCTCAAGCAAGCTTCTTAAACTTTAAACATGTGTTTATCCATAAAATAGGAGTGGTAAGCAGTTCAAGATAGCCTTCAAGATTTTTATGACCATCCTATGTATTTCCAGGGCCTCACAGGATGATAATGGATTTTACGCTCATGATTCAGTTATGTTACATAACACAGCTGACCTTAATGTGTAAGTCTGGAAAACACCACGTTAGAAATATACTGGTTCATACATCCATTTAGCAAAAGTTCATCACACTGGAACAGTAAGCAGCCCCCAAACTTTGAAACTATGCCTTTCATAGAGATGTAAATCCTCCTTTGGGTTAGTATATTATACAAGATTTGTGGGGGGGGGGGTACGGGATTGACTGCCAGGCAGGCACTTACACCACTAAATCACACAATGATTGTAAATGGGACACTAGACATGGAAGTAGGAACACACTTTCAAAAGTTGTTTTCCTTAACCAGAATTACTCTTTGAAGTGATATACATTCAGAACTTGTTTTTTAAATATTTCCTAGATTTCTACATGAGACTTATGCACATTCTTCTAATACATGCGGGATAAAAATATCCATGCCTTAAATTTCGTTTTTTAGATAGCAGTGTGCTCAAAGACAGCCCTGTTCTTTTTCTTCCCTAACCCTGTTCTCTGGTGCTCTGTTATGGATTTCTTCCAACCCCGGGAACATCCGTATTTAGGAGCACTGGCAACTACTGTAGACCTGCATGTATGGTACCAACCAGTCAATACTATTTTGTTCAGTTTCCAAATTTTGCCTGCAAATGTGCTCTACTGCACTGTTCCACTCTAAGTACCTGAAGCCCGGGTTGCAACAGGGGTGTCTTCTCTTTGGCTCTCCACCCCTTCACTAACGTTGGCGCTTTCAGATTAAGCGCAATTGAATCTCACATTCTCCCTTCTGGCGTTGCTTTCCGTTCACCTCGCTCCGCACACCCACAACTTTAGCAAAATATAACTAGCAAGCTGCTGGGGCGGGCCCAACCATTTCCCTCTCTTAATAGGGGGGGACTAAAATGAAAGCGCAGAAGCTGTTGACAAATGACCTCCCTAATTTCCCTCCCTTAATAGGGCGGGACTACAATGAAAGCGCAGAAGCTGTTAACAAATGACCTCCCTGTTACCACACTGTAAAACCTCGCTCCGCAGACCCACAACTTTAGCAAAATATAACTAGCAAGCTGCTGGGGCGGGCCCAACCATCTCCCTCCCTTAATGGGGGGGGGGCTAAAATGAAAGCGCAGAAGCTGTTAACAAATGACCTCCCTAATTTCCCTCCCTTAATAGGGCGGGACTTCAATGAAAGCGCAGAAGCTGTTAACAAATGACCTCCCTGTTACCACACAGTAAAACCTCGCTCCGCACACCCACAACTTTAGCAAAATATAACTAGCAAGATGCTGGGGCGGGCCCAACCATTTCCCTCCCTTAATAGGGCGGGACTAAAATGAAAGCGCAGAAGCTGTTAACAAATGACCTCCGTGTTACCACACAGTAAAGCCGCCGCCGCCATCTTTATTGTGGCCAATTAATAGTTACGTCATCCTTAAAAAGATCAGTAAGGAATTTTGCAAGCAAACAGCCTTCAAGTTAGCTTGGCACTGTCTGAATCCCACTCGAGACGGAGTTAGCCCTTCGGGGAAACAGTGAGTCCCTCTGTTCCCAAAACGCGTGATGGCAAAAGTCGCAAGGATGCCGGGGTGGGGCGGCGCTTCCGGCCCACGCGCTCTTACGGAAGCTTGGTCGAAGCTGCGATTGCGCGCAGTAAGGAAGTGAGTTTAGGGGCGCCGGAAGCTGCTGGAGAGAGCAATGGCGGGATTGAGTGTGCGAGACCCTGCAGTGGATCGTTCTCTACGTTCCGTATTCGGTGAGAGGCGTTCGGTGGAACCAAGCAACAGGGAGGGACAGAAAGAGGCAGGGGAGTGTCGAGGAATGTCCTGATGCACCTCCCTCCTCTAAAATCGCCATGAAAGCTGGCGGTGGGTCGGGCTTGCGGTTTTGCCTGTCCTGTGGGGCGGCCAACCTCGTGGGCAAAGAAATGCTTCTCTTCCTGAGGTCTCTGAGGTTTTAACGCAGTGTCAGGAGAGTTAAGCGAGTGTTCATCTTCTATTCATTACTCCTTCGTGATCTTGGGTTATATTTTAGAAGAAAGGAAGTATTAGCGCCTCACTGTTCGGTAGTACAGTACTACCGACCTACTCCCATCCCATAATACACATTGTATGCTGGTTCCTGTACCGAGTTTTCACCCTCTCATAAGGATTTACGTCCTTCGTTTTTTACCTGTAACGGTTTATCCATAGTGGTAGAGCGAGCCCTTGGCATCGAGGTGAATTGCGAATAAATGAATGATTAAAACTCCATTAGAACAATTTTTTAGAAAGGATATAAACTATTCTAAATAATCTTCTTGGTTAGAATACATTGTTTTTAAAATTGGTTTTGAAAGCATTCTTTGAAAAGAGACATGACAAAACGATAAATTTAAACACTTTACACGATGGCCATCGTTTTCTCCCATAAGTGTGTGAGAATGTGTAGAAATGTGGCTATAGGACCTGTTTTTAGAATTATAATATTTTCAGTAATCACTGATAAGACTTGGAGGCCTTCAGGTAAATACCAATGCTTACATACTTATTTTAATCAAAGTTAAGGAAAATCTAACACTTGTCAGATCCAACAGAATAATTTAGGACTAGTGTCTATACCTTTTGTATTTTGTCTCAGTGGTATATTTCCCTTGTTAAGAGATCTGAGGAGTTACAATCCAAGTGGGTTTTGGAGAACGCTATTTTGAGCCAGTTGTGTAGATATTCAGTAATGTAAATAGAACTCTGTTTACTTTCTCACTAAGGATCCAGGTTAAAAACTCAGAATTGTAATATGTTATCTATTCCTTAGTGGGTAACATTCCTTATGAAGCTACTGAAGAGCAGTTGAAGGACATCTTTTCTGAGGTTGGACCTGTTGTTAGTTTCAGGTGAGATCTTCTACTTCTCGGTGGGAGATTCTTAAAAATCACTACAAAACTGTCCTATAGCAATAATGGCAAGGGTTTTTTTCTTTTAATGATTACTTTTCACATGCTTTTTATTTTTGTTAACTGCTTTATTGATATAATTCACATATACAATTCACATTCATTCTTACCTAAGAGATTTTTTTCATTAAAAATGTTTTTAAAGTATTTCAGTGAGGCATCTGAGTTATAAAGTTAGTTATCTACAGTGAGCCAAATTAGAACCTGGCAGTGTCAGCAGGAACTTTGTACAGTGTGTGTATATAGCATTTGTGCCTGATAGATGCTTTTGCTCTCCAGATTGGTGTATGATAGAGAGACAGGAAAACCAAAGGGTTATGGCTTCTGTGAATACCAAGACCAAGAGACAGCTCTTAGTGCCATGCGGAACCTAAATGGGCGTGAATTCAGTGGTAGAGCGCTTCGAGTTGATAATGCTGCCAGTGAAAAGAACAAAGAAGAGCTGAAGAGTGAGTATAAACTTAAATAGTATGCATTATGAGTTAGTGGAAATGTAAAAATGAAAGTTTTCAAAATATGTTTTAGAATATACCACACAGCTTCTTTACTTGACCAGCCTGAGGTGCCTGAGTTAGGGAAGTAGTATCTTTGAGAAAGAAGGTAATGCTGACTTTAGTAGAAATCCTTTTGTTGCTGTGGAGTCGATTTCCATTTAGATGAATTCAGATCTACCAAGCCATTAGTAGTGCTATGTCATTATTCACTCCTGTGACTGTATTGCCAGATCGATAGCTGGTAGGGATACTAAGCATTTTTATGGTTTTTTTCATGAGGCAATAGATCCTACAGTTGTGTCTTAAAGTTAACAGCTTTGTGTATTTAAACCATTTTCTTCTGAAATGATTTGTCAAAAGAAGTTAATGGCTTGGTTCTCTAACTTAGGTTAATATTGTCCATCTGTGTGACCACAGTGCCAGAAGCAAAGAGATTTTCAGGTGATTTATTTCTTAGCTCGAGAGAATTTTAAATTATCAATCGGTGCTTAAAAGCAGCCCTAGGAAATAGATATTAGAAATGGTTTAGCTTTTTGTGTTGCTTGCCTAACTTTTTTGTGCTTTCTTCCTGATCAGGCCTTGGAACTGGTGCCCCTGTCATTGAGTCACCTTATGGAGAGACCATCAGTCCTGAGGATGCCCCTGAGTCTATTAGCAAAGCAGTTGCCAGTCTTCCACCAGAGCAAATGTTTGAGCTGATGAAACAAATGAAGGTGAGAAAAGGCTCTAAGTTATAAATAAAGCATATCCCATCAGATTTTCAAGGAGTTACTGATGTTATGATCAATTAATGGATATATAGTTCCTTGAGTGCAAAAAGAAGTGGTGTTTATAGATAAGCATTTCTTGTACCTTCAGTATTCCAAGTGTGCAGAGTATATTTTTCTACACAAACAGACCTACCTAAACAATTTAGATGAGATTAAAATCCTCTGGAATATTACATCTCTAAGATGAGAGGCTGTAAATCATAATTTTTTGCTTTTTTTTTTTTTTTTTTTTTTGGTACCGGGAATCAAGCTCAGAACCGTGCACTTACCAGGCAGGCGCTCTGCCACTGAACTATATCCCCAGCCCAGTAAGTCATAATTTTTAAGTAATAAATATTGTACCTGATGATAAATCTGCTTTTCTTCTCAGCTCTGTGTCCAGAATAGTCCCCAGGAAGCACGGAACATGTTGCTTCAGAACCCACAGTTGGCTTATGCTTTGCTGCAGGCACAGGTAGTGATGAGAATTGTGGATCCAGAGATTGCCCTGGTGAGTGCTTCCTATTCTTCTATGGAAATGGTAAAGTAAACTTGGAGCATGATAGAAACTACCTGATTGCCTTAACACGTAGCTCATTGGTTTGTCTTTTTACTTTTTAGAAAATTCTGCATCGCCAGACAAATATCCCAACACTGATTACAGGCAATCCTCAAGCAGTCCATGGTGCAGGACCTGGCTCAGGGGCCAATGTATCAGTGAACCAACAGAATCCTCAAGCTCCTCAGGGCCAGTCTTTGGTAGGGATTTATCCCTTAACATTTCTTTTTTCTGTCTTAGAATGTCGTTTTCTTTTTAGGAAACTATATTGAAAGAAAAATGATCAGATACCAGATTTGATAATTTTCATTTTGAGGCATAAAAGCAATTTCTAGGTTCTAGAGTCCATAGCAACTGAATGAATACAGATTCCATTCCAAGTTTTTAAATCAAAGAAAAACTTCCTGCATACCTTTTTCCTATAAGCTAACCTTGTTTTATGAGCGCACCTGACACTCCATTATTTTTATAACATTATCTCATTTAATCCTCAGAGAAGTTGTATGAGGTAAGCATTTTTATTATCTGCATTTTCACTAGTGAGGAAAGTAAAGATCACCAAGCATGACACAAAATGCTGAAGCTATAAAAATATTAATACATTTATGATTTTTGCTTTTTTTTTTTGAGACAAAGTCTTGCTGTGTAGTTCAAGCTGGTCTTGAACTCACTATATCACTCAAGCTGGCCTTGAACTCATAGCAGTACTCCTGCCTCAGCCTCCTGAGTGCTGGAATTATAGGCTCATCCCCAGCTAATACATTTAAAAACTGAAAATTTTGTGTATGGAGAAAGGAAGGCAAAATAAATGCCAAAGACAAATGACAAAATGGAGAAAAGTATTTGCCACACAGAAGATAGACAAAAGGCAAATTCCTTAATAATCTTTAGTGGTATTCAGAAACATTTGTTGCTGTAATATGCTACTAGCTGCTTCCCTCTCTGTCTTCTTGAGTTTAACACTTTTTTCCTTTTAACTCTTGTTAGCCCTAGTCATGAAATCAAAAATGTGTATTACATCTTACCTGCCACAGAGGTAATAGTTCTCAATTTCTACATTAGAATATGCTCTAACATAACCATATTCACATAACCAGTCGCATGGCATATATTGCAAGTTGCTCCCATGAAATTCAAAGTATGCAATAAGTCTGCCATAATGAGACATGCTGTATTAAAAGGGTGCTTGGTAGATTATTTGAGACTGCCAGTTTTAAGATGACTTTCAAGTCCTAGACTTAATATATTGAGTCTACACAGAGGCAGGTCCATACTGTAGTTTTTCTCTTGGTCAGGGCGGAATGCATGTCAATGGCGCACCTCCTCTGATGCAAGCTTCTATGCAAGGTGGGGTCCCAGCACCAGGGCAGATGCCAACTGCTGTAACAGGACCTGGCCCTGGTTCCTTAGCTCCTGGAGGTAAGTTTCATCTAGCATCTTTACCATTTTGTTACTTCAGTAAAGTACTGTCATAGAGGTGCTGCACTGCTATCAAATTATGTGATAATCAGGTCTTGATATAAAATTAGTGTATGGCTAGAAAGTATATACCCTAGACAGAGGAAATAGATTTATTTCTTAACATACAATTCTGTATGTCTCATGATAGTAGGAAAACAGTAAGTAGAAAAGTACACTAAATCTTCCAAATTAGAGAATGAAATGAAACTAATCAAATCAGGAAAAAAGAGAAAAGGCAATATAAAATAAGTGATAAGTGTAGACTAACATAGGAATACAAGCTAGTATACTCTTTTATTCTGTTAGGTGTGAATGAACTGAATTCTCCCATTAAAAGCCAGAGACTATTAAATTAAAACTTACAAAGAAAACCAGCACAAAACACATGAATAAAGTTGCATTTCAATAAATACCATCAAACAAAAAGAAGGAAATTTAATAACTACACATCCATTAAAAGCATGTAGGTGGGAAATTAATACAATATTACTATTACCCTTGTAAGTTTTCGTTGTTCAACAAGTATAATAAATTCTTCACATAAAACACCTGTATTAACACATGGTGGAGTAACAGTCTTAAAATTTTTATGTAAACTTACTAATTTTGTAACCTGGGTTAGATTGACAGTGACACTACTCATAGAAGAAAATTAAATCTAAATTCTTCTGTTTTGGTCTAGGGTTATAGCTCAGCAGCACAAACACCTGCCGGGCAAGTGCAAAGTTCTGAGTTTGATTCCTGGTACCAAATAAATAAATCAATAAATTCTGTTTTATAGAGAAACTAGTCTACAGAGCTAAGCTAACGGAAGAATAGAAGACTCAAAAAGATTTTAGCAAATGCATAATTTTCATTGATTCACTTAGTAAATTATCTTTCAGTGAAAGAAATGGATTCTACCTCTTATGTTTCTGAGTTACAGGTACCTTGCTTACCTTAAAGTACTACCACAAGTTCTAATGTGGTCCTACTTCACGTGACAAGTATGCAGCCTATGTTATGAGGCTCATTACATGAGTTAACACTGTAGACTTACTTTTAGCCTGTTTATAGAGTCAAGCGCCTTAATCATACACTTAATGTGTCCAAACAATGTCAATTGCTATAGAAGTCTCTAAATATCTGCACTGCATTTCTGTACTTAGCTTATTGTAAACTGTCAACATGGATGAGCACCATCTGTGGATTACACTTTGAGTAACATTGTGCTAGTGGACAGCAAATATGCATACTGAGGGATTAAATAGTGGAATCAACATAGAGAGAATCCCTTAAATCTTGACTGTAGAATATACAGCTCACCCCAAATGACCATGGAACAATTTAAAAAGACAGAACAGACCATGTACTTAGCCACAAAATAAAACTTTAACAAATTCAAAAAGTGGAGATGCAAAATTAAAAATAATTAAAAGGCAACTGAGAAAAATCTTTCCTTGGAAAACTGAAGACCTTACTGTAGTCAATCTTTGAATTAAAAAGGAAATAAAAGATAAAGGAAAATAAGCATATATGTACTTCACAAAAACATATAGAAACTGGAGGCAATGCTTACAAGAAAATGAATATTCTTAGATACCTATATTAAATAAATACATTCTACGTACTAGTTTTAAGGAATTAAAAAGTCTTAAACTAGAAACACCAAGAAAAAATTAACATAATAAAAGTATAAAATGTAAAGCTACTTTTAAGTGATATTTTTTAAGTTTGCAGCATTTATACTTCTGAATTTATTACTATTTTTGAGTTTTATGACTCAGGATCTTACTATGTAATGCAGGCTTGCCTTGAGCTCTCTTATGTATCACAGGCTGGCCTTGAACTTAAGGCAGTCTTCCTGCTTCAGCCTCACATGTGCTGGGATTATAGGCATGTGTCACCATACTGACTCTACTTCTGATTTTTTATTTATTTATTTTGTATTTTTTTGGTACCAGAGATTGAACTCTATATATTAATTGTGTGTGTGTGTGTGTGTGTGTGTGTGTGTGTGCCAGGTATCAAACTTACAACCTCACGTTTGCCAAGCAGGCACTTATGCTGCTGAGCCAAACCCCAGCCCTTATATTTTGATTTTTTGAGATAGGGTTTCACTGTGCAGTTCAGGTTGGCCTTGAACTTAACTTTGTAGCCTAGGCTAACCTCAAACTTGCAGTGATTCTCCTACCTCAGCCTCCCAAGTGCTGGGCTTACAGGTGTGTGCCACCACATCTGGCTCTGAATTTATTAAAATTTAAAACTTCATGAAAACTTTTGAGATAATTCTGTACAAAGCTCTTTGACAGTTGGTGAGAATGGGGGAAACAACCTAATAAAAAGGTGGACAAAGAAACTGCAAGAATTTCAAAGAAGAGCAAAGCCAAATGACTGATAAAAACAAATATTTACAGTTAGGGAATTACAGATTAAACAGCAGTGAAAATGCATGAAAACCTGTCAGGCAAGCAAGTATCAAAAAGAGATCATGGTCTTGATAGAATAAGTGGTACTTGTACATTGCTGATACATCGAAATGTCGAGAAAGGGATCTAACATTGAAAATTAATACACATTTTGACCCACAAATTCCACTTCTGGGAGTTAAACATACAAATAAAACTGATATAAAATATAAGAAATAATACTTATGTCGGGCGTGGTGGCTCACGCCTGTAATCCCAGCACTCGGCAGCCTGAGGTGGGAGGATCATTGTGAGTTTGAGACCAGCCTGAGCTACAAAGTGAGCTCAAGGCCAGCCTGAACTGCATAGTGAGACCCCATCTCAAAAAAAAAAAAAAAAAAAAAAGATAAAAAAGAAATAATGCTTATAATGTTTTCTGCTATCCTTTTCCTCATATCCTGAGTTTTGTATTGTCTTGATTGCTCTGGATCAAATGAATAAACTATAAAGATATGGCTAGAAGGGAGCTTTGAAATTATTTAGACTAATGCTTTCAAATTTTGTATTCGAAGTATATGTAAGGAACTTATAAAACACAGGTTGCTGCATTGGGAACTTTGGAATTTGTGGTTCTAAAAAGTTCCATGGTGATGCTGATATTGCTGGTGTGGGAATCACATGCTGAGAACCACTGTTGACACCAATTCATTTTCCTAACGTATCCTGGGAATGTATTCATTGTATCAAATCATTTGATCAGAATCACAGTTGCCTCTTAGAAGGGCAGTTCACTTTTTGTTTTGTTTTGTTTTGCTTTGTTTGACAACTCAGATACTCCAAGGACTTGATTTTTTGGAAATAAAGAAAATTTATAATAAAATTCTTAAAACATTTCTTTAGGTTCTTAATCTAGAGCTTTTTGGTGCTTGGCTTATTAACTGAAACAGGAATGTGATATGAACTTGCCTGCCATTTTAGGAAAGTGTTAGTGAACTTCAAGCAGTGCCCTTGTCTTTTCTCCCTACTCAGTGCCTGTGTTTTTCCTTTAAGGGGAAAAGGGAGTTTTGCTATATGGAAGGGATTATACAAGGACTTACGGTGCATAAGTACACTTTGTATACAAGTCTCCATACCACTGGTTAGAGTATACCAATGGTTCTAAACCCTGTTTAACCTAGTTACTGTTCATAATAAATATTTTGGGATGACTTTATTCTAAAACAAAATGCACAGGTGACAAAACCTACATAACATGTCAAAAAAATCAGTATAATGTCCTAACTATATAATGAGAAGTAGGAGGGCATTCATTTATAATACAAAATTACTATGTAAATATTTGGGCACAGTTGCACTAAAAAACAATATATATCAGATATGTGTGCTGTTTGTCCGTTAGCATGTGTCATGTGTTTGTACTGATACCATGAAAGTAAAAACTAAAAATGTAGACAGAAGCTTTTTTTTTTGCTGGCAATTCAGATACCTCTAGGACTTGAATTTTGAAATAGAGAAAAGTTATTGTGCACCCATAATTTACCCTGTAGTATTTCTGGCAAATACTGAGTAAATACATATGTATTTGTGCCCTTGCCACCCCCCCCCATACACATGCATGCGCGCGCACACACACACACACACACACACACACAGTGCAGACAATTAGGTGTCATAGTGATCACCTGCTGTAATCCCAGAATTCTGGGAGGCTGAGGCAGAAAATTCACAAATTCAAGCCTAGCCTGGGAAATTTAGGAACCTATCATGACCCTGTCTCAAAATAAAATATAGCCAGGGATATAGTTCAGCGGCACAGCACCCACCTGTCAAGCCCAAGGTCCTAGGTTGGAGTCCTGGTGCAAAAAAAAGAAAAGAAAAATCATAATCAAAAAATAAAATATGTATTTTTTAAAAGGGCTGGTGCTGTATAGCTCAGTACAAAGGCCCTGAATTCAGTCCCAGTACTACAAAAAACTTAACAAACCAGAAAGTACAGAGAACCATTGTGTTTACAAGTAAAATAGACTGGGTTTCTAATTTCAGATGGCCATAAGCAACTTTTCATTTGTGTGAATGTTTAATATGACATTTGACAGTTTCATAAAGGGTAATTCTTGATTTCATGGCACTGTCTCATACATTTCAGTACATCTTCTATCCCTGGCAACTTCTTATTTAATGCTAGCTGTGCCCCCACAAATGTTTGTCATAACCACAATAGTATACTTACATATGTATACAACACCCAGGGAATAAAATACACTATCTCCCTTTGGAGGAGGTCTGTAGGTAAGTGGCATTGTTTTCTTGTATTACAGAAGAACTTTCTGTCACTGTAGGGTGAAGTGTACTAACAAACCCCTTCTTTGCAACTGCATTGTTGACTGATAGGTGCTATCTGCTTTTGTAGATTTCTTCTTGGGAGGGCAGAATGAAGTAAGCTTGGCTGCTATTGTATTTTCTTTACTACCATACTGACTTATGTCTTTCTTTCCTGCCTTTTATCTTCCAGGAGGAATGCAGCCTCAGCTTGGAATGCCAGGAAGCGGACCAGTGTCCATAGAACGGGGACAAGGTAAAGAAATACTAATGTCTGATTAATGCGTACTGCAGTTGGAAATGTTCCATACCTGTATTCTAGTATAACAGCCACTAACCACAGGTGGCTATTTAAATATTAATTGACGTTAAATTGAATTACGTAAAATTTAAAACTCAGTTCCTTCATCACACCACATTATAAGTGCTCACCACATTATAAGTAGCTACATGTGGCTAGTGGATGTCACACCAGACGTGGCACAGGACATTTCTATCATCACAGAAATTTCTGTTGTACAGTGCTAGTATAAACTTGGCACCTAGTGATTCAGAGCCAAGCTCTACAAGAAAACAAATGGATCCTTTGTTTCCTAATAGTCTAATGACTTGTTGACATGTCTCTCCCTCTGTGGATTATCTGTTGACTTATTAAGGGATTTTAATAGTATATAATATGTGCATAGGTATTAGAAGACTAAATTTAAACCCTAGAGCAAACTGGGAGGGAAGTCATAGGTCTGATAAGCTAACTTGAGAAATGTCTGTTGATTGTGAGAAATGCTGTATCTAATACAGCAGCCACTCTGAAGTCTCCATGTTATTTCTTTATGTTACTGGAATGCATGCAGTAGTTGAAAATTGAGGCTAAAGGGAGAAAAGGGAAGGAACCAAATGCACACTATCTGCCAGGCACTTGAATGTTCATAAACAACTCTGTGAGTTAGGTGGCAGCACCTCAGTGTTACATGAAAGAGAAGCTCAGAATTTTAAGTTACTTGGGGATAAGGTAAGTAAATACTGACATTTGAGTATTAAGAAGTGGAGTTGGTAACTCTTTCCCAGCTAGAAAATGGCAGAGCTAAGATCAAGAAGTATCTTAACTCCAAAGTATATCCCTTTACTTTCTCTACATTGCCGTCTATTAACATGTTCTCACTGGCTTGTACCACCATTGGTGCAAATGGATCTAATCACTTTTGTCAGTCTTTTTACTAATAAAATTGATAAAACAAAAAAAAATACTACCCTATGGGACAGTCATGCATGTACCACCAGTAGTTCAAGCCACCTGGCAGCAGTACATGAATTATGGCTTTATCATGAACGTGTTAACTTCCAAAAATATTCTTCAGTGTATTTTACTCTTATTCATTGGGTCCTCATGATGAGAAAAGATTACTTTGGACAAGCCTAGAGAAACTTAAGCTTTTAGCATATGGCCTATGAGTGAAACCCATTTAAAAAGCAAAATATAAATATACTGGCCAGTGATTTGTACGCTAGGATTGATGATTGAAATGGCAGAGTAATTTTTTTCATGAGATGACATGAGAGCAGGACAACCTCCTGACCAAATACCTCATCTTTTCTCTTAAGCATTCCATGCTTTTGTGCTGTTGTGTGCTTCTTTGCCACTATCAGTAGATAGTGTATGTACCCCAATGTATTTTTGCAGTGGTGAGAAAGGACTAGGACATTAGTCAGGCCATCAACCTAGAATTAGTTGTTTAACACACACTTCCACAAGACGTCTTCCTTCTTACTGTAGTTATCTTCAGTTATGTGGTTAAAAACTTTGAGAAAGGAAAATGACTCATTTTTTGAAAATATTTTCAAGGCTGTCTTCATGAGGCAACAAAATGAGATGAGCTTTTTTTTATGATTTTCTTCAGTACTCAACAGAAGAAGCAAGAATCTTATTTGTGCCAGGTTATCTTACTTTTGCTGGAATCCTTGTGTCTTTTGCACGTTCATAATGATGAAGGGAGACAGTTTAAGAAGATACTTCATGCTTTCCTACCACTTTTGTTTAGGGTTGGGGTCTTTGTCATTTCATTACTCTTGGTTTCTGTCATGTTTGTTATCCGTAACCTCCTGTAGCAGGTGATTTTGTGCAGAAGGATACTATCTCTGTTCATCTAAAGTTTACTGTGTTTACCATCTTAATACTTTTTTGATAACAGAAATGTTTGTGTTTTAAAATATAACAAAAATAGTACTGCTCTATATCTGTTACGGCCTCCACAGAATAAATCTCCCATTGTAGATTCAATGCAATTTCTTTCACATTGTGCTTCTGAAAATGTTTTATGTTCTTTGCTTCACTAGCGATTCAGAGCCAACCCTTCAATATAGTTTCTTTTTTTTTAATAGTGGTATTTTAGGGGGACTTAGTGAAAAATGTAGTAGTAACACAGAGAAAGATTGAAAATCACTAGTTAATCCTGCCCAGATAAATCCAGTGGCCCACAGTTTCTCTTTTAGGAAGCTATCTGGTCAAAGTGGTACCATTTCAGATACCCAGAGGAGCTAATATAGCTTAGGAAGAGTTTGTAACCAGAGACAAGCTAATGAACTCTTGGCTTGTTTAAATTAAATGTATAAATCTCCAATCTCCATACATATATGTTTCTCTGTGTGTGTCTCTGTGTGTGTGTATGTGTAAGCTGTTTTAAGTGTGTACTCTTTCTCCTTTAAACTTAATGCTCACCTAGGAACCCTACAACACTCGCCAGTGGGACCCGCCGGGCCTGCATCAATTGAGCGAGTTCAAGGTACCCCTTGTATCTATGGGTTTCCTTTTGCTTTTGGTGTTCAGGGTGGGACGTTGAGAGGAAGAAAGCTGCTTGGCAGTCATCCTCACGTTCAGAACCCAAAAGGGTAGTGTTTTTGGGGGTTTTTTGGGGGGATTTTTGTTTTTGTTTTTACCTGTTGAGGCCACAAGCCTAAGATTGACCTCTTCACACAGGGCAGAGAACATGGATGATATGGGCATCTGTCCGAGGCTGTACTCCCTCCCTACTGGTGTCAGGAGGCTTGGATGGAATAGCAGTCTGTAAGGAGACAGCGGGTTCTTGCAGAACCATGGCAGTGTTCACATTTGCCAAGACCCTACCTCTTTTGTGCCTCTGGTCCTTGAACTAAGATTGAGTAGAAGGAAAACCAGGAGCATAAGTTTCTTCAGGTCGCAGTGCTAGTCCTTGGCAGGTTGCTCCCCAGTTTACTCTTTGTAAAATTCCATCCATACCTCTGACATGGCACAGATTCTGCCTACACCCTGCTTCTGTTCTTGAGCTGCAAGAGGATTCTGCTGTGGTGAGGTTTCACCCACTCTAAGGTGTCTGAATTATGTTGTCAGTGGTATATAGAGTCATTTCTTGTTTTTTTATGTGTTCTTCACAGCAGTAACTCCCTGTTTGTTTTCCTGTCAGTGCCGATGCAAGACCCTAGAGCCGCTATGCAGCGGGGATCCTTGCCTGCCAATGTCCCAACTCCTCGAGGTCTGTTAGGAGATGCTCCGAATGACCCACGGGGAGGCACTTTACTCTCTGTAACTGGAGATGTAGAGTCTAGGTAAGCACTGACATAGAGGAAAGCGTTTGAGAAGTCAGGATTTTTCTTGCTTTGAGAACAGAGTATCTCTGCATCCCTTGTACCGGTTTGCCTACTTCAAAGGTAAATATTCAAGGTCACCATCCAAGACTAAGCACTTCTCCTAAGACAGAGAACTTTATAGTTTAATTCATCATTTTAAGCTAACTGATTTCTACATTTTCAGAAATTAAAAATTCTGGTGTATATACTTGGACACAGAAAACTTAATGATAGTACTAATGTTAATAATAGCAAAAACAGGAGTAGTTGACATTAATGGGAATTCTACCTCTGACTTAGCTCTAAGTACTTTACCTAGATTGTCACATTTGAATCTATACAACCTTGATTGGGCATGTATCTTAGTGGTGGAGTGTTTGCCTGCCAAACAGAAGGCCCTGGCTTCTATCCCCAGCCTTGCAAACAATTAATAAATAAATCCACACATCCCTAGAAGGTAGATATTATTAGTGTCATTTTACAAATGGAGAAGCCAAGTCATGAAGAAGAGTGATAATGTATCCCAAATCATGCATCATCTAATAACTGAGAGCCTAGATTTGACCCATTCAGTTTGAATCTAGAACCTATAAGTACAAGTTTATATACTCATACATTTAGTGACTATCCATTAATTCTTCCCTAATTATGAGTACTCCAACTGAATTGGAAATTCTAGACTACATGGATTTATGTTACTATAGCTTCTCTTCTGTTCATTTATGTCAGTTCTTGGTCAGCTTTACTTACTGATCTTCTTTATTGTTGTTGTTTCTGTTTTAAATACAACATTTTTCTCCATCTCTAGAGGTTACCTGGGACCACCTCATCAGGGTCCACCTATGCACCATGTTCCTGGCCATGAAGGCCGTGGACCACCCCCACATGAAATGAGGGGAGCACCATTAGCTGAGCCCAGACCTCTAATGGCAGAGCCCCGAGGACCCATGCTAGATCAAAGGGGTCCACCTTTGGATGGCAGAGGTAAGGGAAGACTACATCATGAGGCTGACATGTGGTTATGAGTTGATAAAAAATTCAACCGTCATTACCTCTAATATGGAATAAGTACTGCTAGGGAAATATGGTTGGTGAGCATCATTAAGGTCTACCTACAAATCTGAGAAACTTCAGAGAAATCATTTATAGTTAAAAGAAGATATGACTAAAAGAATAGATATCCATCTTCCTTGAATTGTTATTATAATACAGATGAGTGGCTTCGTGGTGGTTTTCTTACAACTTTATAGGTGGGAGAGATCCACGGGGAATAGATGCACGAGGGATGGAAGCCCGAGCCATGGAGGCAAGAGGTTTAGATGCCCGAGGCATGGATGCTCGTGCAATGGAAGCCCGCGCTATGGAAGCCCGCGCCATGGAGGCCCGTGCTATGGAAGCGCGTGCCATGGAAGTCCGAGGGATGGAGGCCAGAGGCATGGATACCAGGGGCCCAGTGCCAGGCCCTAGAGGACCAATGCCTAGTGGAATCCAGGGCCCCAGTCCAATTAACATGGGGGCAGTTGGCCCCCAGGGATCTAGACAGGTATGTAAAATCTCAATCTATTTAGGATGCTTCTTGAACCTGATTTTTACTGCCTTTTGACTAGAACTGTTTTTCAGACTGGTATCTCCCTTACTTTTTTATATACCTCAAGGGGGTGATTTTTCTGGTCGCCAGGATTGTAATCCAAAAGAACCACCTTACTCTACATATTCAGTAGCTGTTTCATGCAAAGTAGAGCTCTTGAAAATTTAGAGGTCAGAGAATACTCTTCATTGGGGTTACAAACCAATCACCTACAACATCCCAGCCTAACTCTTAGCAGCTGGATCCAGGATCCAGGCTTGGGTGATTTGAAAAACTTCTCTCAAATAGTTTTGTATAGAACCCAAAGCACCACTGCTTAGAATATCTGAAGTTCAGTGGTCACTTAGGTAATCTTAGGTTTGCATAAACTGGTATTAATCTATTATCATCACAAAGCTTGAGTAAATGATAAAATAATGAAAAACAAGTTATAAATAATGAAATGTTTACAACTGAAGTTTGTCTCTTCTCTTTTCACTTGCCTCTCTGTTGTGTGTATATTACTGTGTGGTTGCCATCTCTTCCTTTGTCCAATTTGATTGTGGGGAGGTGGAATCTTCCTTGAGTTTTTGTATGTGATACTTTGTTTCCCTCTAGTACCTCCACCTTCTATTTTTCTCCTTCCTCTGTATACTTCTCTCTTCTGTCTTTGATATGTTTATGTGTCTTCCTCCATTCTTGGGTGTGCAGCAGGAGAGAAAGAGAATATTAGAGTTAAAATGGAATATGTTGATCACATAGCAGTCATCCAGTGCTCTAATTTTATCAGTTTGGAAACTGAGGTAACTTGATCAAATTCACTTAACTAGAAAATGGCAGAGCAAGGAATAGAGCTCACTGATTTTTTCACTCTACTACTTTGGTGTAATACCTGTACATTTGTGTGCATGGATATGTGTGGGTGTCTACCTATTCCTTCTCAGTTTGAAGTAAACATTTTTTTCCTGGAATGTGCATACTGTTTTTCAAGTTTTGCTTTTTTTTTAAAGTGCTTGTGGGCCTTGATTCTTACTATTTTCAGTAGTCTTAAAATAAAAAGTATTTTTATGTATCCATTCAGGGATTATTTACTGAGTACCCACTGTGTACCAGATATATAGATCTAGATATTGGCAAGATAGCACTGGAAACAATAAAGTCCCTGCCCCTATGAAGTTTCCATACTAGCTGGAGAAAGTCACAACGGATAACTACATAATGTACTTACATAATTCTGTAGAGAAAAACACTGAAAATAATGCTTGAAAGACCATTTCTGGGTAGTGTCTTGCTCCATCTTCTGTAGTGTTTGAATTCATTACTCTGTAATACTAGGATATTTGGTTTTGTTTCTGTTTTTTAATTTTTTTTTTTTTTTTGAGCTCTGAGGATTGAACTTCAGGTCTCATACATACTAGCACTGTACCACTGAGGTACTACTATAGTTTTTACTAATAATCTATTGAGCCAATTAGATCTAAGAAAAATAAAAACTTTATCTTCAATTTTGAATTAATATGTTCACTTAGAAATACATATAATATTTACTAATCTATAAAAAGTATACATTAAAAGCCTCAGTTCCTCTCCTGTACTTCTCTCACTTGTGATGTATTTTTATTTTTTCCTTTCACTGTTCTATACTTCATCTTTTTAAATAACAATGTGCCTATAATTCATTCAAAATAAGATTTTTAAAATTTAATTACAGTCCATTCAGTTAGAAACTCATCGAGTGCTTATATAATTTGTCATCCACAGAAGGGCATTTTTTGTTTGAGGCAGGGTCTTACTCTAATTTAGGATGGCCTTAGACTCACTGAGTAGCCCAGGCTGGCCTCAGATTTCTGCCTCAGGCTCCCAAGTGCTAAGCCTGTGCCACTATGCCTGGCTAGAAGTACATATTCGAAAGTGAAATAGAGTGCTCTTAGTAATTTACTCTGAGGCAAAGCATAAACTGGGATTGTCTTAGGCAAGCCAAAACAAATGGTCACTCTTGATAGTACTTACCTGCCTAGAACAGATAGATACTCCTAGAAACTTAGAATGACCACTAGTGAATGGTTATTTCACATGCCAGTACATCAAATTAGCATCAATAAGTATTAATGAGCTTCAAAAAAATTAAGTTCATAGATGTTTCAGATCCATAACATCATTAAGGTTCAGATAGTTCTCTTGATTTAGTGTTCATAAAGAATAAAACAGTGATAATCTGATACCTGCAACCTGTACTAATGCTTTATCTACCCATTGTTTAGGAAATGCGTTAATGCATGTAAGAGAAATATTCCAGATAATAGAGCTATTTACCAGATTATATTATTTTAACAAAAATTATTTATAAGGTATATTTTATGCTTCTATTCTTAGGTTGATATTTTCAGTTACTCGAAGTCCCCTTAAGTAGATCCAATATTGCAAATGGATTGCAATATAAAGCATAGTTGACTCTTCTGTTGTTTCTGTCCTCTATCAAACTGTCAACTGGCTTTTCATATTACTGCCATAATATCTGCTCCTAACAGTTTGTCTGTATTTTATGTTTGGCTTCTTCTGATCTGCTGGGGAAGCAGGTATCAAGTTTGTTAACAAGTACCTAATGTCTGGGTGAATACCTGAGTGTGAACATAGTCTGGTGTAAGATATATCTAACTGTTATGCTAAGTGCTTAAGGTCTTTTCTTATTAAATACAATTTGTCTTCCAAAGAGTTGGGCTCACTCTTAAATTCCATAGAAACGATATTACACTTTATTCTTTTACTCAGGTCAGTCTTATTTCTTTGTATTGAGCAGAAAGCATCTGCTTTTTATTTTCCAAGGAAAACAATAAAAAACAAATACAGGGTGAGTAGCAGTTTTGTCATGAGACATCTTCCCATTTCCTTTATGACTCTTGACATTTTGATCATCTCTACCTTATTTGTGGGGTAGGACCTTTAGGACCTGTGCCCGATTGTACTAGTGATGGGTAGCAGCTCTGTGAATGTAGCTTCCTCAGTGGACCAGCATATATTATAGAATCTGTTGGTTTTCATTTGTGTTTCTACATAGCACTAATTTCCAGGGGTTTTTCCTGTGTTTATTGGGCTGAATTTTGCTTAATTTGATGGTATCCAGTTGTGCTGTGTGATTTTTGTTGATAATGTTGGAGCTGTTTAAAACAACTGTGTCTTAATTTGCTGGTTAATCTCTGACTAAACCCTGCCTTTTCTCATTATTAACAGTAGAAAGTAATCTTCAGCCTCATTAATTTGCTTTTTTACTCATTCATATAGAAATCATAATTTTTCACATTGCCATTAATGTATTCAGGTTGCCTACATGTCAGGATCTCTGAAAAAAATTCTTTTCTCTTTTGCATACATAGGTCCCAGTCATGCAGGGAACAGGCATGCAAGGAGCAAGCATGCAGGGTGGAAATCAGCCTGGTGGTTTTAGTCCTGGGCAGAACCAAGTCACACCACAGGATCATGAGAAAGTAAGCAACACTGACAGACTGTCTCCATATTCACAAATCTAGCCTTTTTGATTCCCTTTTTCATAGTTACCACGTGGTGATCTTGGGTCTTCAAAGTCCCTTTTGGAGGGGATATTTACTCTTAGAATTCTTTTATGATCTTATTGCCTGAAAATTTGTGCACCTGGTCATGAAGTTCTTAAATGGCTGTACATAGCAGTTTATCTTACATTTCAGACTCATCTGTCAGTAGCAGATTTTTTTTGTGCAGACCAGATTGACCTGAAAGTACTTATACCCTTACTTCCTCTCCTCCTACCTTATCCCTAAAAACAACAGCAGATTCACCATATCTTTCTATCGGAAGCGCATGTCTGATGGAAAGGCTAAAACTTGTGAAAAGCAGACATTGAAAAGAAGACTAAAAACTGAAGAATTCCCAAAGCTTACAGATAACATTTTAGTTTGCAGGAACTTTTGAGTTGATAAAGGTGTCTGTTTTGAATTGCCTAGTCTTAGGTATTTTAATTTATACTTATTCTTTTTATTGTGCTTTTTTCTCACCAGAATTTTTTTTTCTTTTTGGCCTCCTGTTTGTTTTCTTTGTGTATAATATCATTCCTTTTCCATTTTGTTTCATTTCCCAAAACAGTGGCTTTTTGGACAGAAGCTGGTACTGTTTTGTTTTTTAATGATCATCATTGAATTTTACTATCTTTTCCTCCACACAGGCTGCTTTGATTATGCAGGTCCTTCAACTGACTGCAGATCAAATTGCTATGCTGCCTCCTGAACAAAGACAGAGTATCCTAATCTTAAAGGAACAAATACAGAAATCCACTGGAGCACCTTGAAAGGTGAGCAAATTTAATCCCACCTGAGCAGGACTAGCCCCTTGTGTATTTGGGGTACACACTTTCAACCAAAAAGGTTGTTCTCAATTAGTCTTCTTAACTTCATTCTCTTTACCCTCAGTAGTAAGCACCTCAGCTATAGAACATTTGTTCAGTTGTCAAATTACTTATATTACTTTTTAACCTTTCCAACTCACAAAATAAAACATGATCAGTTTAACAAAATTAATCAGATAGTGCACTATAAAAAATTAAAGACAACCTTGCTTCCTTAATCTCGTTCCCCAAATAGAACCCATAGTTTAGCATGTATCCTTTCAGAATCAGTTATATTGTTTTATTCCAAACTGTCTCGTCAAAATGGAAAAATACAAAAGATTTCAATAAAATGTAGAGCTATTTTAGTTGCCAGTACTTGTGTCTAATGACTATTTTGGTGTTAAACTATTAACAGCACATACAAGATAGTAAATATCCACCATCACCATCAGTTTCTATACATTTTGGAGATTGCTGTACACTACCACCCTTATTTTTCTTGCTTATCACTCAAGTAAAAAAGATTCAGGTAAACTATATCATAAATAATGTGACAAATTTGATATATATTGTTTTTTCTTTTAAAAAAATTTTCCCTCAACATTATTGTATGTCATAAACAATTCTGTTTTCCAAAAGCAGTCTAAAATTCACAGTGACCCCAATGTCTGTTGGAATATCTCCTTTCAAATATCTCCTTTTTACTCTATCTATGCTATAATTCTGTCCATATACTATCATATAATAGTGAACTCACAGTAATTACCAATCTTATTAAATATATGATATTTTAACCCATCTTTGTAATGTCTTTAAAACATCCAAATTACAAATGTTTTTCATACCTGTTTTTAGACTTTTACTGACTGAATTATAATTGGAAGGTATCATAGATGGCTATAATCTAAACTTTTGATATGACCAGTACTTTTACTTTTTCCAGATTCCCCTAATACTCTATTTCATCAGGAAAAACAAGGACTTTGTATTGTATTTGGAGGAATTTACTTATGCCAGAAGAGGCATTCTCTGCAATCTGAGAAAATTACTGTTTTTAAATAGTGAAGGAAGAATTATTTCTGAAAACTCATTCATTATTCTTGCCTAAATGAATCCTAATTTAAAGCCTTGCACATTAACCAGAGGGTACAGTTTTTGTATGTTTTTTTTTTACCTTTTGAAATAATCATAGATTGACAGGAAGTTAGAAAAATAATACAAAGAGCCTCATTTACCCTTGAGCCAGCTTCCCCCAACAATAATAATCTTTTTGCTTTCTAGTATAAAACCAAGAAATTGATATTGATACCTTACTGTGAACTTTACTCAGTTAAAACTAACACTAATTTATGCCTATATGTGAGACTACAACTGTAATTTTATGTGGCCAAGATTTTACCGTGTCCACTGGTATTTGTACATACTGTGGCTGAAGCACTGGGTTTCCCTGTGTCTTGTTACCTACCTTGTTGTGGTTGTTCTCTGAATGCTGACAAGATTCTTTATCATTACCATTAGAGATAAGTGTTTCTCACCTAGGATCAGTTTTGCCCCATAAGGGACATTTGACCCTGTCTAGAGACATTTTTGGTTGTCACAATTGGAGGGAATATAGTATGCCACTGACATTCAATGTGTTCAGATCAGTGATGTTCCTGAACATGTATAATGCACAAAATATTCACCTCCCCACCCATATGAAAGAATACTCCAACTCAAAATATCAATATAATACTATTGTTGAGAAACTCTTTTACAAAGAATGATTGATTTAAGAAGACAGGAGACAGGCATCTACAAATTCTGTCCCAGCAGTTTGAACTTATGCATATCCTCATTCTCTGGCCTTTTTGTCTTTTTTCCTGATGTTTGGGGAAGAGAACTTTGTCTCTACTTCTAATAGCTTTTTTCCCACTTTTTCTTACAGGTTTTCAAAAATACCTGGCAACAGTTCTGGAAATTAATTCCATAACATTGTTGAAATGTTGAAAATAGGTGACTTCTGCATCTAACCTTTGAATGACTCAAATTGGTACCAGGTGGAGGACTCCCATCACCTTTTCTCAGAACAAAATCAGTTCCTTTTGTTGTTTTAGTTTGTATATTTTCTGTGACTTGAAATAAAAGTTGAACACAATTTTAGTATACTGCAAATTGATAATACATGACCTTTTTGGTTTTGAAAAGCTGAACTCCAAGAGTGAAACCTTCACTGTATTTTCTACCCTTACTGCAGCATTGTACTTTAATGTTATATTGCCATTGCACTGTGTTTACTGTAGGTTAACCATTTATTCCTCTTAATGATAATTTGAGAATTTCTCAGAAGCAATGTTTTCTGGAACTTGGTCTTTGTTTAGTTTGCTTTCAGCAGGAATAATAAGGCTTTATCCTTTGGAAACGTTTTAGAATATCTGAGTCTTCTGGAAGAGAATAGGATGTGCTTAGAGCTATAAAATAGAAAGCCAACAAAACAAAGCACCTACTATTACAGCGTGTTTAATTTAGAAAAATCCAAATCAAAACACATTTTTTTGGTCATTATCAGATCTGACTATACATGGTTCATAATTAAGACAGATTGTTGGCACTGATTTGAGTGTGTGTCAACAACACAAGCAACTGTTGACTTTTTACTTGTCTGTTCTAAAACTCCTCAGTCTAAGAGGTCAACTTTAAAAAGCCACTAGTTTTTCACATTTGAGATGATTTTAAAACTGAACAGAAATCAAATGAACAAAATACATTTCATCCTATCCTCCAAAAAGTCACTAACGTATAGCTCTCTACCTTATAACCAGATTTATTCTTAGAATTTAAAACATAGAAAACCCAAAAACTCTTTAAATTCTTAGTTATCATAAGAGGATCAAATGAAGAGCAAAAACAGTCAGGTTGCCCTTTGAGGTCTGGCTAGCCTGCTTCCTTGAAGACCGTTATAAACGTAATTAGTGCCACTAACTCATACCTATGGGTCTCCTTAAGTGGTGTTATCTCTCATGATGGCATTAAGGAGGAACATATTTTCTCTCCATCTGGATGACCTCAAGAGGTCAAGAATTGCCTTAATAATTAGTAAAGTTCTACTAGAACTACTGTTGAGCCTATTTATATTCTTAGAATCTCATTCTGTGGGTTAGGATTATGGTCAAGTGACTTAAAAGCCTGGCATAGGCTTAAAGAATGTAGTAGCATATTGCTTATGTGTCAAGCAAAACAGTGCAAAGATAATCAACTTCATGAGAGATACTAAAATTGAGGATTTTCTACTCTATGTGAACATTTACAATGAAAATTTGTTTGATATTGCATATTACAATCTAGCAAGAAAAGGTCAAGACACCGAAGGAGTGTTCTGATTATCTTCGTCCCTAATTCACCTTGGATGTTAATTATGCATAGGGTTTCTTTTTATTACCTTTTTTGCCTACTTCCATGAATATTCAGGCCATGATCTGTTGATTTTGGCAGCTGATATAATGTGAAGTGTCAATGTATTTAGACATTGAGATACAGAAGGAAACGTTTCTTATGAGATCATAGGCTTCAAAGAAAGATTTCAAAACAAGGTTAATGAAAATGAAATTTTGGCAAATCAGTTGTCTAATAGGAACCAACCATATCTTTTAAGAGTCCATTGTGTATTTTCCCAAAGCCTTATTGAGCTTAATTTAGGTAGCTGAAATGTAGGTGAATAAAATGGCAACAGCAGTATCAACCCAATCTACACCAACAGAAACTCATCAGTATTTTTTTTTATGGATGTATTGACAGCTACCACATGTTCATATCCTACATGTATTGTGTTTCAGTGACTGAAAAAATATAATGTAATTAATCCTTCAGACCATGAAGGTCCCTAGATAATTAGAAACCACAATTTGCTCATTCTTGATCACTTAATAGTAGAAAAATAGGTGCTGTAGTGCTAATTCAGTAGAAACATCCTTATAAATACATAATGAGTTGAATTGTCTTTGAGCACAATGAAATTGGAGAGGGTTCTCTTGAGAACCTGGGGCTTTCCTCCTAATGATTCACTGTGATTACTAACATCCCAGAGCTAATGCAGTCATAATATATGAAGTTGGATAGATGGGAGAAATAAACATTGATAGGGTAAAGAAAGGCATTTTCTTTATGTAGTTAAAATGATTCCTTAGTGAATAGGTAGGTACAAACCAAAAACATCTATCAGGATTGTTAATTATTTTTTACACTAGTTACTAATAAAACCATTTAATGAATATGGTGATTTAGAGCTGCTGCTGGCTCAGTAAGTCATGCCATTTGGAGATCAAGTTTTACCAATTCCAACAGAATAATGTATGACTGTAGCTTTTTGTTATAATTTTAATTACAATCAGCATATTTTAAGATTTTCTTTCTCAATGGGAAAACCCAGGAAAAAGGAACAAAGGACTTACTCCTTAAGCAAAGAAAATCTCGTTTTTTGACAAAAATGAAGTGTTAAGTTGGCTGTTCGTGCAGAATAAAATGATTAAAGTTACAAAATGTACCCTGTTGGTATTATATGGAGAAGAGGGTTCTTGGGAATTTTATGTTTACTGTTTATTATTTATGGTTATTATGTTTTGTTGCTAATTCAATAAATTTTTATTCTAAAAGTCACCCTACTTAGATATCTTCTGTGAGGGAAGGAGGGTGGTGGGAAGATTATGAACCAAATTGTAGAAACTGGAGTCACAAAGTTGAGTATGGTTCATTTATGTAACTCGGCCTCCAAAGTTCTGCTGTCAAGGTTTGCTGCAGTCATAGCTTTTCACAAGAATTTTGTATTATTTTCCCAAGAAAGGATCCATGAACTTTGTAGTTATTATGACGTCTTAAGTTCTTCAGTTGGTGAAGCTCAAGTATGAAGTTAAGTGACATTTTTTTTTAATGCCGTGGAGTCGAGGCTTGAGAGGTACAGTATTTTAAATTCACTGCCCAAACCTGATAGAAAAGGAGTCTGTTGAGGGATACAAAGGAGAAACAAGACTACTGTGTTTTTTTCTGTAGTTCAGAAGTTTTCCTTGTTGAAGTAGAATTGAACCTTCCTAGGATCTAGACTGGAATATCGGTGACAGCATTTGCGCAGGTTCTTTGCCAGAGTCTGAGGACCACATAAGAAAACCCCCACCACAGACCTGTGGAAATAGAATAATAGGGGAAGAAAACAGTAAAAGCTATTGACGTTGGTAAGAATGGAGAAATGGCCTCTGCCAGGTCTCCTAACACTGAGCAAATTCCAGTTGTTGACTTCCACCCATGCTTTTTGTAATAGTTTTTGGTGGTTTTTTTCTTTTGTTTGTTTTTTGGTATTTTTTTAACCTTTCTTAAGACTTAACGTATGCCCTCTACCCTTGTCACTCTCAGCACTCAGCCTTACCCATTTTATTGAGGAAAGAGGCACAGAAAGCCCACACAATACAGTGATAAATGTTAGGCATTGGAGCCAATCTGGGTTCAAATCTGAATCTTTTATACTTTATGACTTGAAGCAAGTTCTCTGTGTCAGCTTTCCCATCTGTAAAAGGATAATAACAGTACCTACCTCCTAGGGTTTTTGAGAATTAAAAAGACATAAAGTAATTAGAAAAATGCATGGCACATAGCAAATATTAGCTGTCATTAAAGTCATTCACTGAATTTAACTCCACCACAAAATTTCCCACAAGGAAAAGATGATGTTCTTGCCAAAGCTAATCTTTCCAATTATGCTAAGTGTCACTACTCTGCTCTTTGTGTTTTCTTTAGTTATGATACAATTCACAGCCATAAAATTCACCCTTTGGTGGTGCACATTTAGTGCTTATCAGAGCCACAAAATTGTGAAACCATCGTCTTTGATTCCAAAACATTTTCATCCCAAAAGGAAAGCCCAATCACATTAGTGATCACCTCCACTTCATTTCCTTCCACTACCCATACCCTAGATAATCACTGATCTGCTTTCTCTCCATATAGATTTACCTAATTCTGAACATTTCCTATAAGTGGAATCATACAATTAGTGGCCATTTGTGTCTGGTTTATTTTACTCAGCACAGTGTCAAGTTTCATCCATGCTGTAGCACATGTCCATACTTTTCATAGGTGAATAATATTCCACTAATATACCATATCTGTTGATGTACATTTTTTTTAACTTGGTCTATTATGAGTAATGCTGAAGTATACATTCATGTGTTTAAGTTTTTGGGTGTATATGTTTTTATTTCTCATGAGTTTATATGAAAGAGTGGAATTACTGGATCATATGGAAACACTATGTTTAACACTTTGAGGAATTGCTGAAGAATTCTCAAGTGCTGCATTGTTTCACATTCCCACAAAAAGTATGGTAAGATTTCAAATTCTCTTCTCAACAACACATGATACTGTCTATCATATCATGGCCATTTTAATCTTCACCCCCCTTGTATATTTTACTCCCATCTACTGGCTTCTGTTCTGTCTATAAAACTGCTCAGATTTTACTTAAGCTATATGCATATTTCCTGATCTTGCAACTTCTCCAACACCATGGGCTGCATTTCTCTACCATTTGTTCACTTGGCTTCTATGACACTACAGTACATTTCTAGTTCTTTTCTGCTTTCTGCTTTCTTCCCTGGTTTACCTTTCTCCTTTCCTATATAATCTAGGTATTCCTTTGACATTCTGTTACTATTTCTATCTCAGTCTCTCTCTCTCTCTTCTTTGTCACTCTTTTTCATCTCTCCCTGTTTTTTCCTCTCTTTCCTTCTCTCTCTCCTCTCCTCTCCTTTCTCCTAGGCAATCTCATGTGCTCTGAATTTTGACCATGTTCAGTTCAACATGATAATTATCAGAATCTCTTTTGCTTATGTACTTCTTTACTATTTATAGGGCATTGTTCATGTATTGCCTCAGTCTTGATAACAACCTTGCCATTGAGTAAACTGAGCATTTATTTACTAATGTGACCTCCGTTTTACAAATGAGGAATCTGAATGTCAAAGGGTTTTCTGGCTGGAGGTCCTGGAGAACTAGAAAGTTGCAATACCAGCGTGAGAACCCAAGAGCATCCAAATCCCAGGCACTAACTGCTCTTACTGCTGCCTTCATAAAGACTTTAATGTTCATGCACTTGTTTCATGGAGCACATCATTCTACTTTGATTACATGCATCTCTTGTTCAAATGTATGCTGCTTTATGGCAAGAAGCATACCCTATTTCTCTTTCAACCTTCAATGCTGAGTGCTGAGCTTAAATAATGTAACCAATAATGTTTGTGAAATGGAGTTGATCTTCACCTGCCAAATTGCTCAAGGACTTTGTCTTGCACTGCTCCACTTCTGTTTTATTTGGTGATATAGATCAGAAATGAGCCTTTGCCTCATTGCTTGGATGGAGCCTTGCTAGAGCAGCAATACCTTCTCACCAGTTCCAGCCTCGAGATTCCTATTTGCTAAAACCCAGATGAAATTTTCTCAGTGTTTAAACAAGAGTTTAAGAGTGACACAAATAGTTTCTGCTTCAGAGATCTTGTCCCAAGAATGTTCAACATGCTTTAATACCTTGGCTAAACTGTAACTGCAGACTCAACTAATTGGAGGAGAATTACTTACTTGGGGTGGGCAGTAGCTATGGTAGAAAATTCATTCTCCCATTTTGGTCTCCCAAAGTAGGTTTTCTGTTTCAGACCTGTCAGGATGTCAGTAGCTTTGTCAAAGTTTAATGCTGCATGACCAGCCTGAAGTCAGAAAAATAAGTTTGAAAAAATAAGTCTTTATAGCAGCAACTTCCTTCAGGCAATTTTAAACAGTGTGAGGGTGAGGGAAGGTAAAAATCATAACTAATTGATTCTAATCAGCATATACTATCCTTTATCTAACATTCATTCTATATTTTACATGGGAATTACCGTGTTATTTATACTCACAATGTTGCTATCCCATCCAGTGAGAAAGAGCCTGTAGTTTAGAAAGCCTACTTTGCCTAATTCTTCCATCTCCTGTTCCAGGGAAATCATTAAGTCATTGAACCAGGAAAAGGCACCTGTCTCCCTGCAGATCCAGTAGAAATAAATCTGGAATCAACAAAAAGAGGCCGTATCCTTATTATGTACACTTAAAAATGTTCACTTCCTATACTAATAGAAACATACATATATATTTTTTTATTTTATTTGTTGATCAAGGGTACAGATGACCTGATAAATCACACTTACAAAGTGAGAGATGTTAGGCAGCATGAATACCCAGGGTTCTCTTATAGAAATTTCTCTTATACAAAGAGCCCTGCAACGTCATCTTGGTCCAAGGTCATTTTAAGCTCCAAATTAAAAAGAGGACCTTGCTCTTACAGTGAATATGTAGAAGATTTTCTGGTAGAGAAAAGCAATCACTCACTCATAACTTCAGAGACAGTTTAGCCCTTTATTAGCTGTGAAGACCTCTGCCTATGAAGGAACTAGACCTGTCAGACCCAGACCAGATGAATAGCTACATGTGGTAATGTACCTTCTGTATTTTGAGGTTGTGGTCTGCACGCTGGAATTTATACCAGATGGATTTCAAGATGGAAGCAAAGGGAGTGACCCCAATTCCTGCCCCAACCAGCACAGCCACTTCGTACTGGAAAACATCTTCACTAACTGTACCAAAAGGACCATCCACCTGGATCCTGGAAGAAGACAGAAGAGAATAGACAACTTAAATCTCACCTCCACCCTCAACCTCAAACATCCTCCCAGAAACATAATTAATTATAGTCTATCTTACCAGACTTGAGCTTCAACAAGAAATTCTTTTCTATCATTCTTTATCCTGGTCTGAATCTCTTCCCATCTTAAGGACCTACCTGGGAACTGGTGAATGGTGCTGTTCAAATGCTCTTATGAGGTTTTCTGTCCAGTCCCCTGCTGCTCGAACATGAATAGAGAAGAAATCTTCCTCTGGAGCAGAGGTCAAAGTAAAGGGATGCCACTCCAGGAGAGAGATTGAGGGGCATTTAACAAAAATATATTGTCCTACTTCCATGCTAAATCCCTGCTTGGTCATCTGTAATTCCAAGACTTTAGATGGGTGCATGACTACCTATGAATGAAGCACATAGACCAAAGGAGGCAAATTCAGATGGTAACAAAGACAGGCATTTAAAGTAAATGAGTAAAACTGGAGGGCTAGTAACTGTTAAAAAGTGAGGTCAAGTCCTTTCTAAAGGGTCCAACAGCATTTAAGTCTAGACAATGGTTGAAATACAGAACCGTAACTCTGTTAAGAGGTTTCATGATTCTTCAAGAAAAACAAAACATTTCTTCTCTTAAAGATTGTGAAAAAATTCCACTCATATTTTAAAATATTTGCAACCACCATGACAATTTGGTTTTGTACTCATATAGAACAAAATTTTTATCAGAGAAAGAAGAAAATGCATATTCCTTTACCTTGGTAATCATAACCCTTTGCTGGGATCGAAGAAGACGGAGGATCCTCTCAAAGATATATAGAATCACTGGTGCAACAATCCACTTCCAAGACTGCAAAAAGATGAAGTAAAGAATGAGGTTACCCATGAATTTCTTAGTTAGGACTTACTTATGTAGCAGTTCATTCCTTCATTTAATAAATATCTGTTAAATTTTCTGATGTGTATCATTATTAAGCCACTGATTTCACCATATCTTGAGGACAGAAATAGAAATGAATATACTCCAATTGTTTTGTTTGCTCATTTGTTACTTATAAAACAGATCATTCCTTGAAAATTTATAAGTCTGAGCAGGAAGCAAAAGCAAAGGGCATAAATAAAATACATGGTAATATATGTACACATAATATATTTTAAAATTTTGTTTAAAATTTAATTTTTAATTTTAATTTTAAAAATCTAAGACTATCTTCCAGGACAATTTGTTCAATCTGAGAAACCAACAGAGAAGGTAAATGTGGTATAAAGTCAGATGATTAAAAATAAAATAAACTAACAAAAAAAATGGAAGTATGTGATTGATGGCTCTTAGGAACAACAACAATATATAAAACTTGATACTTAACACATTGCCTCTTTTCTTAGATGCTCGAAACAGAACAGTAGTGTGTTTTTATCTTGTCTACATTTACTGCCCCTCAATGCTTTTCAGTGTTCTATATGCAGAGGATCTACTACAATATACTTCCTAGCAATACGAAGTCATGTCCTTTCTTGTATAGTTGCTCAAGTGTGATACATTGGAACTATATGAAATGAAGTCTTCTATTTCAGGCAAATAACTTTCTTGGGTATCTCTGGGGAGGGAAGGAGCAGATACGGGGCTAATGTAACTGAGAGTGGACATCATACAACTTGATGCTACATGTTATCTGGTAAAAAGTTCTCAATCAGATGCAATAGAATACATGAAGGAAAAATACTTAAATGAATAAAAACAATGTGGAAAAATATTGGCCTCAGAAATAGAGAAATATATATTAAAACAGGACATCATTTTAATTTCTCAAATTCAGAAACAAGTTTAAGCAATACAATGGAACCTAGTCACTCATTGTTAACTGGTTCCAAGAGGCTCTGAGAGTATCAAAACACAAGTACCAAACAAATTGTTTTCACTGGAAAGATAGTGAGTCTCCAGGCAACAGGCAGTCTCAAGTTGTAACTTGTGTTTCAAGTACCAAACAAACAATCGATACTGTTACACAACTTTCATATCAAAATATATTGAGCCCTGAATTCCATGATTTTCAAAATAGTCTAGTATTGAAGTATTACTGTAAATGGCCAAAAATAACTGGGATTCAAGGAAATGGACTTGTACAACTTATGAATGTACAAACTTGCAGCATCTTCCCTGATGATAATTTGGCAATATCCTCAAAAGTATCCTCTCTCTTTGGCTCTGGAATTTTACTTGTAGAAATTAAAAAAAAATAATTAACTTGTGCACACAGCACATAACTATAGTAATGGTCACAATATTTACTAAAGGAAACAATAACAAAAATTATATATCAAAATAAAAGGAGAAATAAAAGATAGGAAATAGACGATCTTTTGCAAAAGAGAAGAGGACCAAGAGCTAGAAGGAGTGGAGAAGGAGGGAAGAGAAAAGGATGAAAAAAGAATTAAGATGTGTATGGACATGTACCAATACCCCAAGAGGAATATAATCATTATGTACTGCAAATATACGAGTAAATCTCAAATTCTAAAACAAAATATATACAACTGTTTTAAAACAAATGTCTTAGAAGGATATTTGACAGCACACAAAGCATCCACCTAGAAATCCACTACCTCTAGGTGGTAGAACCCTAGAATTTTAATTTATTTCTAAATATTTTCCATGTATTTTAAACTTTATGCAATAAATGTGTATTATTTTTATTTTATTTTTAAATTAGGGGAACATGGAGAAAGTATCTTTTAAATGTATATGGAAAAAACAAAGTAATATGTTCACATGGAAACACTGTGGTATTCACTCCCTTAAAATATTATGTGATCAATCAAAGCAACCATCAAGGTGTTTATTGCTGTTTGAGTGGGTTTTTGTTTTTTTGCTTTTTGGGTTTTTTTTGTTCCAATGATCAAACTCAGGACCGTGTGCTTGCCAAACAGGCACTTTTGCCACTGAGCTACATCCCTAGCCCAACCCTTGAGTTTTTACCCATAAATAGGCCAAGTCTAATTTACCTCAGGTAATAAATGGGGGGGGGGATGGAAGCTGGTGTGTAAGACAGCGTATTCACCATCTTAGTTAGTAAACTTAGTTAATATGACTTAGATAGATGTCTTTAAAGTTTTTGTTATTGTTTTTGTTTCATTTTGAAGAGAATAAAACCAGAAGAAATAAATAGAATAGAGACAATCAAAACAAACAATGAACATGGTACAGGACTTCAAAACAAGATAACAGAAAATCAATAATGGCTACTGTAATGCTTCTTGTTATCTTCAAAATAACTGCCCATACCATGAAACATAATAAAATCAAACAAAAAAGAACAGAATAAAACCAAGTAAAATCAAAACAATGAAAACAATACAGGACTCCAAAATAAGAAAGAAATACAACAGTGGCTACCATAATTCATCTTGTTATCTTCAAAGCAGTTGCTTATACCATCAGGCATAATAAAATCAAACAAAACAAAACAAATTAAAAACAGTCAAAACAAAACAATGAAAGCAATACAAGACTTCAAAACATGACAAAAGTAATACAACAGTGGCTACCATATTGCATTTTGTTATCTTCAAAGTAGCTGCTTATATCATCAGACATAGTAATATCAAACAAAACAAAATAAAATCAATCAAAAGGAAACAAGTAAAGCAATTAGGGCTTCAAAACATGATAATTGGAAATTAATGATGGCTACCATAATATATTTTGCTATCTTTAAAATAGCTGTCTGTGCCATCAAATATAATAAAATCAAACAAAACAAAATAGAATAAAACCAAGCTAAACAGAACAATGAAAACAATATGGTTTCAAAACAGGATATACATTAACAATTGCCACTGCCTTCTCCCTTTAAACATCTCCTTCCCTTTCACCTTTGCAACATCTATTGTGCATTTTGGATTCCACTAACTCCTTCAGTTTTTTTATAATAGGGAGACAACACAATGTTCACCAACGTAACTCTAAACCATTTCACCAACGAGCATGATATCAAGTTGTATCCATTTACCTACAAGAGCTTTGAAGTTATCTTTCTTTATATTGAGTATCTTTCCATTGTATAGAAAATGTCATTTCTTTCTTATCCATTCTGCAATTGATGAGCAAGTTACCCATACTTTTTTCTGATTCCCTGTCACATAAAGCATTGTTCTCTCTCCTTTAATTTTGTCTATAAATTTCCTTTTGAGTTAAATGTGTTTATTGAATAAAGCATATTGATGGATCTTGTCTCCTGATCCACTCTGCCTGTGTTTCTTTTTATTCATGAATTGAGATCATCTATATTAATGGTTATGGCCAACATGCAATGGCTCATCTCTGCCATGTTATTTTCCTGCCATTGACTCCCCTCTTTTCCCTTTCATTCAGTTGTCTACCCTGCTCAGTAGGCCCCCTCTGCCACTGTTACTGGAACCATGGTCTTCTTTATCTTTCTCTAGAATGTCCTTCAGTATTCTTTGGAGAGTTGGTTTGGTGGTCATTAATTCTGTCAGTTGTTCTTTGTCGTGGAAGTATCTTGTTTTGCTATTAATTTTGAAAGATAGTTTTGCAGGGTACATCAGTCTGGGTTGGAAATTGTTTTCTTTCAGAACTGAAATACTTCACTCCAAGTTCTTCTTGACTTGATGGTTTGTGTTGAGAAGTTTGTCATGATTCTGATGGGTTTTCCTTTATAGGTGATCTGTTTCTTTTCTCTGACAGCTTTTAATATTCTGTCCTTGTGTTGAGTTTCTGGGCTCTTAATTATTGTATGTCTGGGTGTAGATGTATTTTGGTTATGGCTAGCTAGAGTTCTGTATGCCTCAGTTAACTCTATATCCCATCCTTTTCTCATGTTTGGGAAGTTTTCTGTTATTACTTCTGTAAATTGGATTTTAATGTCATTTGTGTTGACCCTTACTTTTTCACTGATACCTCTTATTCTTAAGTCATTTTTCTTTTTGTCATCATGCAGTCATTGAATTGTTAATTCCTGGTTCCTTGTTATTTCTTAGAGATCTTTCCTTTCATGATCACAAGCTACACACCTGTCTGAAAGTCTATCTTAAGTTTCTTTAAGTGGTTTTGCCAACTTTCAATGGAATTTTTAATTTCTTGGATATCTATTTGAATCTGTTTCATGCATTCTAAATCTCTCATATTTTCATTCGCAATTTCCCTCATGTTGTTATGCTCCTCTATTTTTTTAATCTATGTCTTCTTTAGAGATGCTTAACTATTATTTTATTATGTTTCTTATTTCTTCTTTTACTTGTGATAATATTTCTGTTATTTCTTTTATAGCATCATGAAGTTATCTCTTTACTTCAGTTGCCATTACATCAGAAACTTCAGGTGTTCTGCAGTTCTTCAGGTGGTCCTCCCCGTCTCTTCCATGTTTTCATCTCCTGGATTTCCCTGCTTGGATTGGAGTCCAAGGACTGCCTTTTGATTCTTCTTCTTGACATTTTCTTGGGTTCTTCCAAACAAGTGGGCAGTCAGGTCCCAAGCACTTCCTGCACTGGCTACAATTTCTACAGAGCATGGTTGGTTCTCCTGTGTTCTCCTGGCCAGTGTTGTCTATAGGTATCCAATGGTGGCCACTGAGTGCTCTGGTGCAGGGCTGGCTGCTATTTTTCCCGCCTGTCCTGGCTACCTGTGGCAGAAGTGTCTGGAGGGATTGCTGGAGTGTGCACAGAGGCAGGGTTGACTGCTGCTTCCCCACGGAGCTAGTTTCCTGCCTAAAGTCTTCCTTATTGTTGTTGGAGTTTTTATTTCTTCATTTTGTTTTTGTAGTACTGGGAATTAGAACCAGGACCTTCTCACAGAGCTCAAAGTTCCCAGCACTTTTTTTTTATTTTGTGATAGGACCTCACTAAAGCACTAAAGAGCCCAGGCTGTGCTTGATTTTGTAATTCTCCAGTCTTACCCTCCCAGATTGCTTGGATTGCAGGCTTGTACCACCACACCCAGTTTAAAGTTTTCTATACCAGTCAAACAATACAAAATGTCTCAGCTGTAATCTTATAGTTTCCTCTGATTTTAGAGATAAAATGTTATATTAATATATACCAACTATGCTCTTTGAAAATTACGTTATTGTTAGTAGTAGTAACAGTAGTATATACTATCTAACTCAGGGACTTCGTCGTGCTAAGTAAGTGCTTTGCCACTGCGATACACATTACTTTTTAAACAGATAATAAGTTCTCAGTCATGCACTGGATAATATTTTTCTGTCAACAACAGACCAAATGTATGACAGTGATACCATAAGATTGTATCACCTAGTGATGTCATAGTCACCTTAGGTGTGTAATTACACTCTGTGATAGTCATATAATGATGAAATCCCCATATAACACATTTCTTGGAACATAACCACATTGTTAATCACATGTGACTAACTGTACATGATATAAAATTCCAAAGGCCAAAACAGTATACAGTGAACAGTAAAACATCCTTTCATTCCTTCCTTCTAATTCCCCAGAGGCAGTCAGTATGATTGTGTGGATTTTCTGGAAATATCCATTTAAGCAATCTATTTCATTCAAATGCAGACAGACAATACCCACTACCCTGCCCTTTTACATTTAACATCTTGGAAACTGAGTGGCCCTTATTAGTACTATAGAGCTACTTTTTCCTTTTGGCTGCTACATGTTCTACTATATGAAAGTTCCATAATTTAACTAGTCTCTGATTATTGGGACACTTGTTTCTATTATTTTGTTGTCCTGTCAAGAAATATGCAATGAAAAAATACATATAGTTAACATATATACAAATATATTTGTAAAATAAACCCTTGGAAGTAGACTTTTAAAGTTTGATGGAATCTGCCAAACTGCCCTCTACAGACAGCTGTAAAGGTTTGTGTTCTCAACAGCAATGCATAAGAAAACATACATTAGCTAAATTTTTAATTTTTACTAACCCATTAACCTGTTGTTGTAGTTTTATTTTGCACATCTTATGATTTCATGAATAAGATTACTTAGTATTTCATGCTTTGAAGATTAAGATATCATTATGTTCATTTCTTCTACATCATTTATATCAGGTCATTGGCATTTTCTTATTGCTTTCTGTTATTAGGAAATTAGCCCAGGGTCTGTGAGTTGTAAAATATTTTTTCTACTTAATAATTTTTCATTTGTTTTTTGTTTTGTTTTGTTTTATTTTTGAGACAGGGTTTCCTCAGTCAGTTCAGCCTGGCTTGAAATCACTGCGTAGCACAGGCTGGCCTTGAACTCACAGCAATCCACCTGCTTCATCCTCTTGGATGCTAGGATTACAGGCATGCCTCACAGGCCCAACCTGGGAAGTTTTTGTTTTAGAAATTTTTTTCTTTCTACATGAAAGCTCAACTATTGCTCTTACTACTACACCTGATTAAAGAGTTTAATCATCCTTGAGGTACTAGAAGCCACACTTCCCTTTCATTTATTCCTCAGTATAACCTATTTTATGAGCAATGGAAGTAAACCATAATACTCTGGAGTATTAGAAGTTTTCCTAGAACTCCATTTTTTAACCTTACATTATCTAATGATAGTTTCAAACAAGCATGTTATAACACCACAGAAATCCCACTTTAAGAATGCTTTTTTTTTCTTTTACCAAGAAAAAAATTTGTTTGGGATTTCAAAACTGAGCTATGGTCAAGAGTAGGATTCCAAAAGGTCTGGGCTTGAATTCAAGCCCCACTACTGACTTACTGTATTTACTTAATCTCTTAGAAGCCTAGTTCCTGTGTCCCAAAAGGGAGACAAAAGTAGTATGCATATCAAAGATTATTGCTATCTATTAATGAGATAATCCATATTACACAGCTATCGTCATGTGAGTTGTCACTATTACCTTCTTAGAAGGTCATAGTGCAAGCAGTTGTTACCATAACCAACACAACCAAACAGAACTTTACAAGTTAGATTTTTTTTTTATCTTTTAGATATAAGCAGCTTCTCCAAAACTCTTCCTGCCCAGCAGGTAACCAACACCCTTTCCTTTCCTTGGCCTAGATTTTAAAAAAGAAAAGAAAAGAACATGTGTATGCTGGTCCCAGAAGGTGGAGGGCCTGGTAGCAAGCCTGGAAATTTGTACTGCCTCATTGTACTTTCCCTCCCTTACTATAAAAGAACCTTGCACACCTGAACATGGGGAGAAGGTAATTTGAGGCAAATGAGGCTTGTTCATCCCCTCAGAACTAGCTTTGAATAAGTCCTTTTTTCCTTTTCCACCAAAAATCTATGACCTCCTTTGATTTGGTTAGCAGTGAGCAAATGAATCTGATCATATAGATCCAAGGGGCCACTAACACAACCACTGGTGTCTTCTCAAAATCTCCTGTTGCTGATGATGTTGCCTGGCCCTTGAAGTTCAGAATCTTGTGGATATTCTTCACAGTATCCAGCACAGAGCTAAGCTAACAATAATGGTAACAGTAAAAGTCCAAGAGTAACAATACCAACAGTAACAACTTCTAACATGATCCTATCCTTGTCCATAGAATTTTTACCTCAGGGGGATTCCCCTCAAATTGAGGGGGCCTGCAGTGAGAGTCATGATGATCCCACTTCTCAAAAGACTGTGCACACTTGTGCGGATGACTCTCCTTCATGCTATCCTTCGTTTGACCCCGGACAATTCTTCTGAAACAGAAGAAAGGACAGTTTGGGGTAAAGAATTATGCAATGTTTTGCTGCTGGGGCATGAGAATAAGAGTTTGAAGACCTTACCCAAAGCCATGAAGTGCTAAGCAGAGGAAATAGACGATAAAAAGGTGATGTGTAAACCAGAAGAGCTCAAAATAATGCCTTCGAATAAACTCCATAGCTGAAGTTACCATGAGAATCAAGGCTACTGTTCCAATCACTCCAGTGAGACCAGCAATGCTGGTGAATGTCACATACAACACAGTCTGTAAAAGGAGAAATGTCAACCTGATACAATGCACATGAAGGATACCATGATTTTCTTGCTCATGACCAGATTCCAGATACCTTGCCACTGAACCAACTTACCATGTTTGGGGACTGGAAAGGATTTAGCCAAGAACCCCCATATTTCTCATGATGAGATAGACCGGACAGCACAGAGGCAAGGGATCCATCTTTGGCCTGTTGGCTTGTGTGGTAGCGTTCAAAATTAAACAAGTGTGCAATTATATGGATAGCTAAACAGAAAGACAAAAAGAGAAGAAAAAATCCTAGGTGTCTCAGGAACATTATGGCAGGCATGCCCCATCAAAACAGGACAATAGGGCCTAGCAGACGCTGAATTCACAGTAAGTGCCAGTAATGCAGAATGATCCAAGGTATTTATTTACATCCACTCACTTCCCAAGGGACTAGAATACAAGCACCATGAACAAAGGACTAGAGCAGTGCTTGACAAAGAGTGCCAAGTGCTCAGTGTGGCTTTGAATGTTTGTGTGGGTGAATGAAAATAAATTGTGAATGCCCTGCGGTACACAATTTCATGGTTTGCCTGAGTTACCTGTGAATATGCAGATCGCATATGCCACCAGCTTATGGAAGGTGAGGTTTTGATCCAAAGGCTTTCTCAATGTGCGATTGCAAAACTACAAAGATAAAGTGATCAAGGCCAGATGTCACCAGTCAGTCTCATGAAATTCATTAACCCATAACCAACATGTCTTGGATACATACCAATATCCAGCAATCCTTACCCAACCCCTTAATAACCAAAGGAGATCTCTGGTTTTTCATTCTTAGGGACTTGAGCAATCCTACTGAGGATATCGGGATTAACATGAAGATTGAGAAAAAAGTGAGACTCACTGAGCAGGTGCCTCTTAGGAAGGACAGCAGATTTCGGCACACAGGAACCAGGATCAACATGCTGTTAAAGTTCAAGCAGCGAGCAGAGGCTCGGGCCACAGCTAATGCCGTCTAGAGCAGAGAAGAGACTGCTGTTCATCTTACCACCTAGCAGGTAAACACTGGCTCAGTGCACTCATCTAGGCTTTTTTATGGACAGAATCACAGCTTCTTCCTGCTTTCCTCTCTCTAGTTAGTACTAATGGTACTAGTTAGTACCATTAGGCTAGTCCCCCTGTTTGCAAGCAGACAGAAAATGCACTGATTTTAATAAATTCCTATAACAGTTTGGTAATATTTTACTATGTATTTATTAGCATGATTAGCAAGGTGATTTAATTACTTCATGTTAGCAAATGCATTCTATGGGTGTGATGCATTGCAGAGATTTTTTGTTTAATACACTTAATTATGATGCTATTTGATGTTATTATTTGTTATTATTTGATGTTATTAGTGATATTATTCTTAAAGCAACCTTGAAGATCACATATATTTTATATATAATTTTAAATAAATCTTATATTTAAATTTATAATTACATATTATGACTATGTTATCCTCTCTTCTATATCTTTTCATGTTGAAATTATAAGCATGAAATAATTGCATAATAAAATTAAAAGTTTAACTACTGAAATGTCTTTAAAAATCGAGTAAGGCTTAGGCAAGACTACGAAAACTATTTTTTATTTTTATTTTTTTCATTGCTGAGGATTGAAGCTTGAACCTCCCACATGCTACACTAGCAGTTTATCTCTGAACTACACCTCCAAACCTGAGAAGGCAGAAACTAAGAGATTTTCAAGCTAATTTTCTTGGGCATCCAGTGGCATAAATCAAGAACAACATGATCTATATCAGTAGAAACTGTTTTTTAAAAAGGAGTCAAGAAATCAGGGCTTTACACGAAATAGACTTGGACTACAGGTGACAGAGCATGACAATTTTATAGTTGTAATGGGGGTGGTGGCAGCAGCCAGGAAATTTTTGTTCCACTTTAGCTGACTGGCCAACCTTACATATGTGCTTTTCAAAAACTTGCTAAAAAGTGGGGTATGGGTGACAGTTAACAATTATTCAGTCTTTTTCCAATAATATTTAAGGCACAAAATCTTTTTCAATAACACCTAAACCTAGAACAATGTGCCATCGATTTGATAAGCCAGGTCAAGATGTGCTTAATGTCACAGTGGCTTACAATGAAGGCCATTTAGTGTACAAGGTTTCCCTACAATTTTCCATTTCTAGTGTTTCCAAATGACCCATGTTTTTTTCCTCTGCTGAGTCATACTCTGACTGTTTTTGGTAGAGACAGTCTGTTCCACTTCAGAATAAATTTTATCTATTCATCTGTGAGATCCTACATTTCCTCACTGGTTCTCACAGCTTGCTTATCTGAGTCACAGAGGTTTCTTAAAGCTAAAATTGGCAAGAGAGTTGATAATACAGAAATATAATTTCACAGTTCCATATTCTGTAGCAGCTGTCTGTACAGGATAAATTGTTTTTAAAGAAAATCATTTTTCCCCATTACAACACTTTACAATATCCCAATGAATATCTATTTCTATATATCAAATATCACTAATGTTATAATTAAAATGCTGCTCTCAATGTTTTCTGCTTTGCTGTTTGCAGCTGCCATGCACTGTGGCCCCATCATACCACCCTGCCTTGGCGCCAACTCTGTATGGGCTGAAATCACTAAGAACTGCAAGAAATAAACTTTTCCTTCCCTAACTTTGAGTATCAAGTATTTTTGTCTCAGCAACAAGCAAAGAAATAACCAAGACAGAATTTTGTACCAGTGGAGGGGGGTCATTGCTGTGACTAAACCTGATCATGTGGTTCAAGAGCCTTTGGAAATGGTTTGTAGGAAGAGTTTGGAAAGGTTCAGAGATGTTGCCTGAATGCATACAGCTGGAACAGCTTAGGCTGTCTTGCATGGGAGATTCTGGTTAGAGCTTAGGAGACCAGAAGGCTGATAGAAAGCCTGCTGGTAAATACCTCCTGAGAGGTTTCTGTTGGGAAGAAGGACCATGTTGGTTGTTGGATTCCAGATGGTGCGTGTTATGACATGGCAGAAAGTTTGTCTGCATTTTGCTCAGGCCCACAAACTTTGCCTGAGACTGATATTAAGGGCAGAGGACTGATTAATCTGGCAAAAGAAATTGCAAGACAGTCAAATGTTAAGGCAGTGGGCATGGCTATTGTTGGGGGCTTTTAGCCAGATTTATGTTGTAAATCAAGAGCAAAGAGCCCATCAGGATGATTTAAAACATTATGAGTCTGACTAGAATGCTTTGGATTGCAAAGATAAGAGCTGAGACCTTGATTGTTGTGAAGGAACAGAGAAATGAAAAAGATGGACAGGGGGTATCCCAGGAAGCAATGGGTCTCCATCCTTTGCAGCCTCAAAACTGCAAAAGTGAAAACATTTGCTCAGAGGAGAAAGCTGCAGAGCACCATGCTCCAGAATATTGATGGAGGCCATATGAGGTTTCAAAATGGCAGCAGCCACACCAGGGTCCAGAATGGCGGCAACCTAGAGAAGCTTTTCCTCACAATCAGGTTGACAGAGCCCAGTGATCCAGGCACTCCACCCCTCCAGCTAAGAGAGTGAAAAGCCTGGCTATTCCTCTAGCTGGCAGCAAACCTTGGTGGCATCCACGTGGTGCTGATTTTAGGTGTAAGGAAAATGTACTAATTCTGAGGGTAAGATGGCTTCCACCTCAATTGCAAAAGGCCTGGCAAGCCAAGCATATGGCCCCTGAGAGGGCAATATGTAAAGATGTAAGGGTGAAGCCAAAGGTGCAGTAGAGACCCCAGAAGTTTGGAAAAGCCAGGAACGTAGATCATCCAAGGAAAGCTGCAAAAAGCAAGCAGAGGGGACTTAAGATGGAAGTTGCGGGAACTGAAATCCCTGGAAGTGTTGTGGGGGTGGAATCACCCAAGGCTTTTGGAGCTTGCAACCAGATTGCTTCAAATGCTGAGCATAGAACTCTAGGGCTTAATGGTCACACTGCTGGATGTTGGACTTGTTTTATTTCCAATGCTTCATAGTCTCCTATTTGTAACTTTTGGAATGGGAATGTTTATCTTATGCCTTTGCATTTTGGAAATGTTTAACCTTGTTTTATTTGTACAGGGGATTAGAGTTAAGAGTTTGCCTTAGATTTTGGAAGAAACTTGGGACTTGAACTTTTCAGCAATGCTAAACATGTTAAGGACTTTGGCAACTTTTTGAGATGGACTAAATGTCTTTTATATAAAAGATGTGCATGAGTCTTTAGGGACCAGGGTGGGATGTCATGGTTTATGTCAGGGCCCCCAAGCCTCATGAATTATGGGCTTGACCAAATCTAGCACTTGTGATTGGTTCATTGTCTGGTGCTTGGATTGCTGATGTGAGTGCTTCACCTGCTCAGCGGTGGAGCCAGGATATGGCGGGAAGAAGGTGTGTGTGTCTCTCTTGATGGTTTCTGCCTTGCTGTTTGTGGCTGCCATGAACTGCAGCCCTGCCTTTCCACCCTGCTTTGGGGCCAACTGAGTATGGACTGAAACCTCCAAGAACTGTAAGAAATAAACCTTTCCTCCCCTAACTTTTGGCATCAGGTATTTTGTCCCAGCAACAAGTAAAAAGTAACCAAGACACTTATTCTCCCCAAATGCTAGGGTAGCAGGTATGTGCCACCATGCTTGGCATTTTTCTGTGGGTCTTCAGTTCTGCAGCAATACCTGCACCTCAGACTCCACTAAGTATTTTTTTTCTATTTGATAGAGAGGTGACATTAGTCTACAGCAGGGGTTTTCACATTGTTTTGGATTTTTCTTTCTTTTTTCTTCTCTGCAAACTCTTAAAATCATAAGCTGAGCATAAAGGCTATGCTGGCTGAAGTGGGGCAGGGACAGGAGTACTGCCTTCTTGTTGCACCCTGGTGAAGCCCCTAAGGTTTTGGAAACCAGTTTGAAAATCATTGCCTAGTAGTTTTCTTTATTGCATGTTTTGTGTTGTAGCCAGGGCAGTGGGTCCTAGATAGAGTTGTCACATTTACTAAGCAAAAATCCAAGTTGACCAGCTAAATTTGAACTTCAGTTTTTAAAAATGAATATGTTTGTAGTCCTATGTTTCATGCAATATTTGGAACATATTTATATGAAAAATGATTCTTAATCAAAAACTCAAATCTGAGAATCTTATTTTTTTCTGGCAATATTGCCCCTAGAAGAAATCAGAGCAATGCATTGCAAAGTAGCCAGAATCAGAAATTTAAAAAAGAAAAAGAAGAATCCAAAAGTAATGACACATACTTTTAAGTCCTGCTACTGGAGAGGTTGAGGCAAGAGGATCATAAGTGCAAGACTAGCCTGGGCCCTTCAGCGAGATTCTATCTCAAAAAAGAAAAAAGAGATTCTCCACATACTCACCCCAAGAATTTCTCTTGTGTAGTAGTACTCATCAGACTTCTCATATTTCAGGAAAGTCTGTACAAACAGAAAAACATTCAGTCCTATCCAAACAACCTAGAAGAAGAAAACAAGGAATATAGTGAAATTGGGAAGAAGGAGCTAAGTGATAGGAAAACTTGGGCTGTTTTGCATTTATGTTTCTATTTTCAATGAATACAGTTCTGCTGGTATCCAACCTGTTTTCAGAGAGAGTTAGCACTCTGAGATATGTACTCAATGCTAATGAATCTAAGGTCCTGGGCAAATCTAGATCCTCGCTGGTTTTGTACATTCTGTAAACTCAGAACTTTTTTGTTTTCACATTTTCAAATGGTTAAAAAAGCAAAAGAAGAATAATATTTCACTACATAAAAATTATATGAAATTCACATTTCAGTGACCATATATGAAATGATTTGGGGAACTTAGCCACAACTACTCATTATTGTATTGTTTATGGCTGTTTTCCTGAAAGAGTGACAGAGTCAAATAGTTGGAATAGTGGTTCCCAAAAGCCTAAAATGTATAGTATCTAGCTTTTTATAGAAACATTTTTTATTCCTGGCCCACAGCACTTAAATTGTTGCACCTAAAGGTGCCAATAAGTGGATAAGTCAACTCCTGAAGAAACAAAGAATAAATTTAGCATATATAATAATACCTACTTGAAAAAGACTAGCTAAGCCACTCCCAAGTGAACCTGCCTGTTTACATGCTGACACACGTTTACCTGTTTTAATTTTGTGAGTCATCTTTCAAATTACCCTATTGTTACTTTGGACTTGTTGAAGCTCTTAAGACTGCTTTTACCTGTCCAAATCTCTGTTACTGTGTTGGCTAGAGGAGAAATTTGAAACTCATTGCTCAGTTGCCTTAGAGACCAAACAATTGAGCTCAAGCCCAAGTTCAGAGGTGCTCCTGTATAATTCAACAGGTCTGTGTGGCACTAGGATATCTCTAGAATATATCCCTACTGCCAGAATGGATAAGAAATATCTTAGATCACAGATAAAAAGCCTATAGCCTAGGACATGATTCATTCATATTCCCTAGACCTGGACCACTCACAGACCTCTAGCAAAACAGCATAGTGATTTCAGATGTCATAATTGGAGTCAAATTCCTTAGGATCCAGTTGTAGCATCACTATTTATGTTTTGCCATCTTAGACATATGCATAATTTAAACTCTCAGAATATAAATTTCTTCACCTGTAAAATAATGATAATAGTCCCTTGAATATTTTATGCAATACTGGTTTAGTGGTCCTGTACTTTTTAAATATTTATTTGTTATGGAATGTCTTCTTGAGCAATTTTGAAGGCTAATTTTGCAGGATATAAGCATCTGGGCTAAAAATTGTTTTGTGCTAGAATTTAAAAACTTAATTCCATGATCCCCTGCAGTTTAAGGCTTGTGCTTAGAAATCTACTATAATTCTAACAGGCTTGCCTTAATAAATAACTTGCTGTTTTTCTTTAACAGCTTTCAGTATTCTTGCCTTTTGTTCAATTCCTGGAATTGTCATTATGCTCTGTTGTAGAGAGGTTCTTTTCTGATTGTGGCTATTTGGGATTTGATTTACTTTTTGTATTTGAATTCTTTAGACTTGGATAGTTTTCTGCTATGATTTTAGTGAATAAATCTTTATACATTTTGGTCATCTTCTAATTATGCCTTTATTCCTGTAATTCTTATATTAGATTTTTTAGTCATCTATCAGCTATTTGATCCAATCTGCATGTTTTCTAGTCATTTTCAGGGTGTTATTGAGAATGAGAATCAAAGGTGGGAATGACATGGTCATCTCAATAGAAAAAGCCTTGACAAAATCCAACATCTATTCAAGATAAATACCTGGGAGAAAAAAGTATGTAAGAATCTTATCTCAACCTGATAAAATCCATTTATTACAAACCACTGCTGACATCATAGTAAATGGTAAAAAAACTGAATGCCTTTCCTCCAAAAATCAAGAACAAGACAAAGGTGTCCTCTATCACCACCTATGTTCATTGCAATAGTATAAACATTAGCCAGAGTAGTCAGGTAAGAAAAGTAAATAAGAAACACAAATAGGAACACAAGAAGTCAAACTGTGTTTAGTTTCAGATGACATGATATTTTACATATAAAATTTTTTAAAAACTCCACCAAAATGCTCCTAGCGTAGGAATAATAACCAAATTCAGCAATATAGGAGGATACAGCATAAAAATACAAAAAATCAACATAATTTCTGTAAACCAATGAAGAACACACTGAGAAAGACATTAGGAAAAACAATCCCAGTTACATAGCTTCAAAAAATTAAGTACTTCAAAAATCAATCCAACAAGGAAGTGAAAGACCACTATAATGAAAACAATAGCGTTATGTGAAAAGAGATTGAAGAGAACCTCAGAAGAGGGAAATATATTCCTTGTTTCTGCAGTAGTACATATAGTCAAAATGCCCATATTACCAAAACTGATACATAGATTTAATGAAATTCCAACCAAAATGCCAACATCATTCTTTACAGAACTAGAAGAAACAACCTGAATATTTATATGGAAAGTGAAGAGACAGAGAGTAGCAAAAAGCAACCCTGAACAACAAGAGCAAATCAGGAAGCATTTTAGATTTCAAGGTATGTTACAAAAGTTACAGTAATAAAAACAGCTTAGTATTCACACAAAAACAGACAAGTAGATCAGTTGAGCAGAAAAGAGGGTACAGAAACAACCCCAAGAACATTCAGCCATTCAATCTTTGACAAAGAGTAAAAAATATATGCTGGAGAAAAGACAGCCTCTTTAAAGAATAGCACAGGGAAAACCATTTGTCCCATGAAGAAGAATTAATCTAGAACTTTATCTCTCATCCTGTACTAAAATAATATAAAATGGAGCAAAGACCTAAACAGTGAAACAAAAGCACTGAATCTTCTGGAATTTAAAATATTTAAAATTCTTGAAGACGTAGGGATAGGCACTTTCTGAACAGAACACTAATAGCACAAACAATAACACCAAGATTTAACAGATGGGATTATTTCAAATTAAAATGCTTCTGTAGAGCAAAGGACTAATCAACAGAGTGAAATGACTACCTACAAAAAAGAAAAAAACATTTTGTCAGCTGTTCCTTGAATCAAGCACTAATATGTAGAGTATGTAAATAATGTAAAATGTTAGGTTCCCCCAAATAAGCATCCCAATCAAGAAGTGGGCAGTTAAAAAGAATGCACATTTTTTGGAATCAAAGTCCAGGACACCACACTTGCCAAGTAGGCATTGCACTACTGAGATAAATCCCCACACCAATAAATACTTCTTATGAGATGTATGGTGCCCAATAAATACCTGAAAAATAATCAGCATCTTTGTCTATTAGATAGATGTAAATTAAAACAACACTGAGATTCCGTCTTATTTCAAAAAGAATTATCACCATGAAATCAAAAAACAAGGAAGGTTGGTGAGGTTGTGGAGGAAAAGAAACCCTTCTAAATGGTTGCTGGGAATTTGAACTAGTACAAGTGCTATGGAAATCAGTATGGAGCTTCTTTAAAAAACTAAAAATAGAAATGCCACTTGAACCAGCTGTGTCTCTTCTGACTATTTTTCCAAAAGAGTTAAAAACATCATATTAGACAGATATATGCATACCTATATTTATAGCAGCAGAACTCACAGTAGGTAAATCTTGGAAACAGCCTATATGTCCATCAACAATTTTATTGATGAAGAAAATGTGGTATTTTTATGTGATAGAGTATTAGTCTGCCATAAGAATGATAAATTTGAGTCATTTGTAGAAAATTGCATCTTGAGATCATAATGCTAAGTAAAATAATCCAGATAGCAAAAGTTAAATATCACATGACTTCTCTCATATGAGAAATTCAAAATATAAATAATTTAAAGAGCAATATAAAACATAGATTATAGGAAACAGAGAGACAGACATTTTGTAGATGGAAAGGGGATTTATGGATGGAGAGAAAAGAGGGAAAGATGGGGAAAAGGAAATAAAACTTACGTTGAGGTGTGCATGTGTACCAACTAAATATGATAATAGCATTCATTTTGTGTTGCAGAAATGTACTACTTAAAAATGCTAAAACCAAAGACAGTAACAAGATCTACTCCACTGCAACGTTGTGATTCTTACATGAAATAATGCACATGAAGTGATTAAAGCAATGTTTAATGCATAGTAACAGCTCAATAAATGCTGGTTACTGAGGTACATCTTTACAAAACTGGCCTTTCCAGTTTTTCCTGCCTTCTCTGCTCAGAATCTTTCTTTTTCAGAATTGTCTTCTAGAGATTCTCTTGACTCCAATGAAAAAAGAGAATTGAAAGCCACAGACATTTCAATACTTTTGAAGACAGAGGAGAAGAGCTCATTTAAGCAGAATGTGAATGTTTCGGGAACCAAAAGGGATACAGAATTAAGGCATTCTGTATGGATCTGTCATCAGTTGTAAGCAAGGTAAATGATGAAATACAGTGACATCCACAAATAAGGAATTCCATTTCCTTCCTTGGCTATCATTTCCTCCATTATAAGTGGAAAAGAAGGTGAAATACAAGACCTGACAGAAAGGCAGATTATAACTATTTTTGAATAATTTTTTCTTCAGTAATAAATAGTGCACAGGACTATTTGTCAGAGATAGCAAAAAGTCTGAGCCTGCCAATAGGTATATTTCAAACCTAGAAAGTTAAAAATGAGGCGACATCATGGGCAATCAATTTCTCCAGACAAATGTAAACAACTATAATGAGAGAGGTAGAAAAACAATGAACTTTAGGGCTAGCGACACCTTTATATCTGTAGGTAGTCACTTCATTAACCTTTTGTTCTGCTACCAACACACCTATCACCTCTCCCAGCACATGGGAATTTAAATCTAGAGAGAATAAATAATTTGATCAACATCATTCATTTAGTAATAGAATTTAAACTACTGGTCAGATTCCCTGTCTCCTAAACTAATGCTTTTTCTGTTATAGTGTAAACTAAATATAGGGCATTGAGTTATTCAAAACATGAATCATGGCACTTGTCTAGCATAAAGCCTTTTTTCAATGCTGGGATTAAACTTATCTATCTATCTATCTATCTATCTATCTAAATATCTATCTATCGATCTATCACCCACCTATTACCTATTTCTATCTCAAAATCATGGAATAGGCTGACAAAAAGCATATTAAACGCAAAACAAGCCACTCACTAGGAACCCCACATTTGGTACACCTGGGAAGCCCGCTATAAGAAACAAAAAGAGCTCTACAAATAAGGAATGAAATACTGGGAAAACAATAAAGGACACAGGGAGCCCTAGACTTAGGTGTGGCCCAAAAGTAGAAGAATGAGAGTGGAGAAACGTGTGTGTGCGTGTGTGTGTGTGTGTGTGTGTGTGTGTGTGTGTTTTATAAGGAAGGAATTGTGCATAGGTGGGGTAATGGAAAACTGGCATGAAGATCAGGGAACTGTGTTTGAGTGTTACCCTATCAACCAATTCATTGTGAGGCATCCAAGTCACTTCCTTAATTTTTTTTTTTGAAAACCAAGACTTGGTTTATACATGCATTCTGCAGTGCTGTGAGCACTTGAGATGTAGCTAGTTCTAATTGAGATGTGCTGCGAGTATATAATAAACATAGAATATCAGTGACTTAGAAAAATAAAAATATATACATTATCTCATTATTTTCAATATTGATTAATGTTGAAAAGATAATTTTAATATGTTGGGTTAAATGAATTATATTGTTACAAATTAATTTCACCTATTTCTTTGGACCTTTTTCAGTGTAGCTGTTAGGACATTTAGAATCTAGGCAAGTAGGTTACAATACTTCCAGCGCACTGTACCAAGTTAAGATGATGTCTAAATTCACTTTCCTCTCAAACACTCTATTTTTTAATGAAATCTTGATGACTGCAGTATAGAAAGGCTAGAGAGAAAGCAGTAGAATTCCTAGAAGTAAGGTGGATGAGAATTCCCAAATATCTGTGATAGCAATCTTCTTTAGTGAAAATGCCAGATATCTGTGATGTGGCCACATAAACAACTGCATATCACTTGGGTCTGTTCTCTTGTCTGGCCTAAGGTTGTATTGTTTAACTGAGAACTGGTCTTCATGAGCCAAATAATTACCATAAACTATTTTTCTTTTGAAAAAGTTTAGAAATATTGACAAATATGATGTCTTCTTACTCTGTGAAAGTTCCTAATTAATAGGAAGTGAAACAACACTTACCAAAATTAAAACTGAAAACCAGTGGTTAACCAGCCAGTTTCCCATTGTCAGGAGATGTTTTTGAAGCCTCTTGAAGCAGCAGAGCAGATTCAGAAATTCGGATTCTGGAAGGGTTCTTGATATTGTTACCTGTTCTGTTCAGGATCTGTGAGTCTAAAATGTGAAAATTGCACACCTACCCAGGAATGAATAAGTGCATTCTGCCTTCCTCCTCTGGACAGAACTTTGTTATCAGCTTTAAGTAGACCAGCCCTACCTATAAGAACCACAGGGGTTTTCCCTGTTGAGATTTTTACCCCTTCAGGAAATAGCAATCTTCTTTAGTGAAAAAAATTCTCTTATGCTCTTATCATCATGACCTAATGCGAAGAGTGGCTTTCCTTGATAAGAGGTTTGCTAAGTTTTCTCATGAGAAGAATAATTAACTTGGAGCTCTGTCCATATTGCATTTCACAACCCAGGTTAAAACAGAATATTGATTTCCAGCATCTTAAACCCCCGTGCATTCTCCCCAGGCACATCTTTTTTTTCCCAAAGAACTCAAACCAGATGCAACCCAAACTTCGGTATAATCATTTACTTCTTTTTCTTTACACTTTTACTAGCTATAAATATATATTTAAGCAATATTGTTTGGCTTTTCCTGTTTTGATTTTTTTTGTAAATGAGACCTAACTGAATGTATATATGCTTCTGTGATTTGCTTCTTTCAACATTTTTTTTGAGATTCATATATGTTGGTTATACATGGTTTCAGTTCATTTATATCCCTATGTAATTTGCCATTGCATGAATATACCTTAATTTATTGATTATTCTATTGATGAATATGAGGATGGAGTGATTTTAACACAATAACACACATAAACTATTTCTCTAAGATATATACCCAGGAATTTTATTCCTAAGATTTGCCCTGTTCAACTTTATTACATAATGTTAAACTCTGTTCCAAAGTGCTCACATAAAATCATCTACTTGCCGGGCATGGTGGCTCGTGCCTGTTATCCCAGCACTCCGGAGGCTGAGGCAGAAGGATTGTTGCAAGTTCAAGACCAGCGTAGGTTACAAAGTGAGCTCAAGGCCAGCCTGAACTGTACAGCAAGACCCTGTCTCAAAAAGAAAAAAAAAAAAAAAAAAAAAAACATCTACTTTAGTGAGTTTTGGGTGAGAGTTTTACTTCCTCCATATGGCTACCAATAGTTATTTCCAGGTTATTTTTATAATTCTAGCAATTATGATTTAATTTAATTTGCATTTCCCTGATGACTAGTGAGACTGAGCATCTTGTGACTCAACTGTTGGTCATTTAATTTCTCTCTTTTGATAAATGTCTAGTTTCTGATCTGTGTTTCCATTTGTTTGTTTTTCTTTTGCCTACAGATTTTCAGCATTTTATTTATTATCTGATAAATTTATAGTATGGTTATGTTTATGACTTGTCTTTCACTTATTTCTTAACTTGGGTCTTCACATTGTGGTATGTACCTAGGCATTTTAAAATTTTGAGACAAGGTTTCACTAAGTTGTTCAGGAAGAATTTGAATTTCTGATACTCCTACCTCAGCCTCTCAGAGTGCTGGGATTATAGGTGTACACCCCCACATCCAACTGTCTTTTCATTATCTTTTAATATTGATAATAAGATACTAAAGCTATCTTTCAATATTGTTTCCAATAAATGGAATTCTTAATTTTAATGCACTCTGATTATCAGTCTTTTCCTTTGAGATTTATACATTTTTGTGACTTATTTTAGAAATCAATTACTAGCCAAATACTAAAATAGTCTTATATTGTCTTCTAAAAAATTTTTATTTTTGCATTTCATATTTATGCTTTGAATTTATCTGGAGTTGTTTCATGTGGATGGTGTAGGGTAGGGTTTTAGTGTATTTTTCCATATGGAAAGCTAATCATAAGAGCACCATTTTTGATACATTTTCTTCACTGATGTCAAATGTGCATATATCATACCTTATATACATGTGATCTTGTGCTTGAGCAATCTCTTTAGTGCTTCCATACAACTGCCATAATCACTATAGTTTTACAATAATTCTTGACATCTGATAGAGTTTTCCTACCTTATTCATTAGAATGCTTTACCTATGCTTGATCTTTTGAACCCTCAGTAATTTTACTGCTAAATGCTTTGCATGTTTATATGGAGATTGTAAATTATATTTGTATTTTCATTATGGCTGTTACGCAAAGATACAGCTGGGTTTGACAAGTTGATTTTTGTATCTAATGAAATTGCTAAATTCATTTATCAATTCTAATAATATTTCTATATGTAAGCATCTACATTTTTTGTAAGCACAATTATATTTTTTCTCTAATCATAATTTTCTTTTTCCTGATTGTGTATGGAGGTGGTACGGGGGGAACTGGACACACAGCCTCGTGCATTCTAGCCAAGCATGCTATCACTGATGTATACCCCAGTTCTTTTTGTATTTTTTATTTGGAGACTGGATCTTACTATGTTGCTAATTTGTACAGGCTAGGCTCAAATTTGTGATTATCCTGCTTTAAGAGTGCAGAGATTACAAGCATGCACCACCATGCTCAGCTCCTTCCTGATTCTTATGTCTCTTATTTCTCTTTCTTAGCTTACTACATCCACTTCCTACACAATGTTGAACAAAGACAGTGATAGTGATTCCCTCATTCCCAGTCCCAAAGGGCATTTTTTCATTCCATTCTTAAGTAGAATGTTTGGTGTAGGTTTTTGAAGATATCGAATTACACATTCTTATTTTACTTTTCATTAGGCACAAACGAGAATATTTATTTAAAAGAGGAAATCATAGCACATTTTAGTTGTTTATTAAGATTGAAATTAAGTACCATAAAATTCTTCCATTGTAAGAATATAGCTCAATGCTTAGCACATTTTATGTATATTTAAATATAAAATTTTAATATTTAAATTTAAAATATAAAAGTTTTAAAAAATAAGTATATAAATAAATTATATATATTTAAATATAAAGTATGCTTTGCGTTGAGCTGAATTAGACTTTGCAAATTGAGAGGGGAAGAAGAGTCAGTGGGAACAGGATGAGAAGGGAGTGGAAGGGAATAAAGAAGAATTAAGATTTGTTATGTATATGTACAAGCTCCCCACAATGAATGTAATTATTATGTGCTAGAAACACGTACTAATAAAAAAGTTGAAAAATTTCTTCAACGTCATCAAACCTATAAAACATAATGTTTTCTTTAGCTGCCTACCATACCTGCAACTTAACGTCATGCAATACCTTGCAAAATTGGTGTAGCGAGTGGTAGGAGAATTTTTGGAAGCTATTCCTATGCTAAGGTACCTAGAAACGAGTTAACTATACACGAAGTGTCAGAGAACCACAGAATATATATTCTCCTGTACCCAAACTAAATATACCACTAACACAACTCCCCTTTACCTATACTCCAGAAATGTTCATGGCTTTAGGATCATGATATGAAAGGAAGTGTGACAGAGGGAAGTTGCAGTGGAAAGAAAAGTAATTTTAACCATCAGCCATGAGAATATCTTACTTTTGCAAATTGTACAAAAACGCTTGACATGCCCAAACCACATCTCATAAAAGAAAGAGAAAAGCCTGTCTGTGGAAGGCTGACCAGAATTATATAATTCTTTGAACATGTGCTTTATGTTGGGAAGAGTTAAAGTATTTTGGGGATTTGGCCTGGATAAAATGTTTCTGTCAATCTGAGTCTATATATAACTTTTTATATTGCTTGTTTTGATTGTGGACCTAAGGAGTCAACCTAGAAAGCGAGAATGTAAAGTAACACATTTTTGTTCCATATAAAACAGATTTTCTAACAGAGGTATTCAAAACAGTAAAGAGATGATGAATTTCTTCTTTACAGTCAAAGAAACATAAGCAACCTGTTGCTAGCTGTTTTATACTAGAAATATCAGCACCAGATAGATAGCTGACTGATAAATTTCAAATTTTTATTTTTATTTGTGCATGTTTGCAGTACATAATGATAACATTCATCATGGGGGAACTGATAAAGGTATATAAAATATTAAACATCTTTTAAGTACCTTCTACTTTTGAGGTTCTGTGATTCATAAGAATGGTACACAATCCAGATGAGGTTTTGTGTATTATCTAGAGGATTATATATGCCATGCTCTAAATCAACCTTTAAACCTGTGGGTAAGTATTCCTATTCCTAATCCAGAGGACTAGGAAATTAATTGATAATTTGATGAGCACAGAATCTGAACTAAGACAGTCAGATGATCTTAAGGGAAAATTATTACTAAAATGCAGCAACAGGATTAGTTGCAGTATCTTTTCAAACTAAGATCATACCTGCTAATTTAGCTAAAGTATTCACATCTCAAATCTGAGAGCTCTCACTTCAGACAATGCTGGACACCAAAAAAGTGTTACCATCGCTCTCCCTTTTCTCTAAATTATTTGAGAATTACTCTCCTTCTGTCAACTCCAGACACTATCATAATCTCCCTCCATTCTGTGTTGTTTCACCTATCTTAATGTTTGCATTTCCCAAGTTTATAGATTATTTGACATTGATTAAATTTGAGATTGACTGCTTCCTGGAGATCTTCTAGGGAGTACTTAAATGTCATCAGTAACTTATTCACAGTCATAACATAGGCTGGAAACTTTCAGAAAGATTTCCTGTAGGCAGTTGATCCCACCCACAATGTATGAGTTATTGTAAATTGTAAACACAGCCTTTACCCTATTTACCTGGTCTGTCTTCTTCCTGATGAGTTGTCTTGGCCATTGTTTGTCCTAACCTTACCTTTGAAGTTAGTTTCTAGTTCCTGAACACCTTTTACAGGAATTAATATATCAAAGACTGAATTGCTTCCAATTTAAACATGTCCTTAGGACACTAAAAATAGTTCTTTTAACAATTTTAAAAATAATTCAGTGGTTGGTATTTTTAATTAGAAATTTAAGTAGTCATGATAAAAATGGAAATTTCTCACACATATTTTATTACTTATAATGATTTTTAATTTAAATCCATAGGAGATTGTTTTAGGTAGATAATTTTTTCTTTTTTGGACCTTAGTACCTTTAAGTATTAATCTGGTCCTGATCATAGTGTATAAAAATGAAATGTCCCATAGGGATAAGAGTGATTGATAAATGTGAGATCATTTGAATTCAATTCTTTTCAGTAAATTGGAGCAGCACCAGACCTCATC